TCAAACTATAAAGACCAATAATAAAATTAAAATTTAATTAAAGATGTAAATAAAATGATCGATTTAGAACTGAAGCTTTAACAGTTGGAGGTATAACTGTTATGAAATTAATGTATAAAGACTAGGGTGGAGACTTGTATAGTTTGTTGATGGTCAAATTGTATCACAAATTAAGTTTATAATAAGCACTGTGCATGGTCCTAATTAAGTGTGATGAAGCCCATTTAAAATCACGATCATGAGTACTTATAAATAAATTTTATATAAATTGAAATAAAAAAAAAACATGTTTAATATATATGGGGGACAAAAAATTTTCACATTTACTTGTTATTCTATAAATAACGCTTGAAAAGCTATTTATTAATCATTTTAAATTTTTTAAAAAAAATATACTTACAATATGCAAACTATCAATATAAAATTTAAATTTGAGACCTTATTTAAATGTAAGGGTGATGCTATTATTGAAATAACCTGCCCATTGTGAGAATTTACTTTTGTCATGTGTGGGTTGGGCAGAGACGCTAAGGAAAACTGAAAAAGATAGCTAGTGGAAATGATGAGGCGAGATAAGATACCAAAGCTTGCCGCCCAAAAAGGCTATTTGGATTTGAAAACTTAAAAAATAAAAGTAAATTAGTAGGTTCGTGGCCTTGACTTGGAAGAAGTTTGAATTGAAGTCAGTATCGCCGTCCCTAAGTTAGAAGGTGAATAGTATTTGACTTTGCTTGGATGACCAGCCAAAGCGAACGCGCTTTTATCTTCAACAATAATAAATTTATGCATTCCATGTTCACCGCCCAAACTGGATCTCACCCTCAAACTTCTACGGATTTACATTTTCTTGGCCTTTCCTTTTCCTCCTTGTTCCTTTATAAAGTAATTACATTCAGAGTAGAAGAGATTAATAATTATTTTTATCTTAATTACTTATTTTTATCTTCAAATGATAAACTTAGCTACTTATTTTATCTTTAATTGGAGTGATGATATCATAATTTTTTTTTCATATAAAGTAATTATATTATAAAGTATAAGGGATTAATAAGTCATATATGAAAACACATGAACCAAAAGTAAATAAAATCTATATATTATATAAAAATTATTATTTTTTATTTGCATGATATCTTAAACATCAACTATCTTCAATATTTCGATTAGGATGCTTTTCAAAAAAAAAAAAAAAGTATTAATCATACATAAAAATTTATGACGAGATTTATGTGTAAGAATAAAATAAAATCAAAACAGGACTTATGGATAAGGATGGAGGGGAAGTATATTAACAAAATAATTCATGTATAAAAAGATAATATAAATAAAAAAATATAAATGAATTTGATTGAACATTTTGATTGGAGCTAGTGAAATCGATGTGTCACTCCCAATCCACTAAGTAATAATTTATCAAATCAAGAATTTGGTTGATAGTGGCCAATTATAATGAGCCAGCTTTCCACTTCAAACCTGCTTTGTCCAATAATGTAATAATCAAATCAAATAATTAAACGAGAGAGACAAATAAAAGAGCGGGATAAGTGTGATGTGATGTGGGAGAGGGTGAGTGGAGAATGACAAGCAATTGTTAGGCATTGGACCGTCAATGAGTGGATGAGTCATATGGGAACGCATTCTTTTGATGACAAATCCAATTCCCTCTCTTTCAGGGCAAACAAATACTAACTACCATCACAACCGACCCCCCTCAAAAAGCAAGCGGCTCCACGCAGCATTGTGCATGCACCGGAATTTGAGGGAACTTGAACTTGTGACACTCTTCTTTTTTTGTACATAAAATAAATAAAAGGGATGGCCTAGAAAAAGCCATGCGATAGGAGATGATGGGAGGGTGGATGCTTGTTTGCTTGTCCAGCTCAGCTTAATCGATAACAAATCGCCAATTAAAAATTTAGAAAAAAATTAATCTTTTAATCTTTATATTTTTGATACGTTTATTACTCAGTCCTTATATTTTGACTCAATATAACTCAGTCCTCATAGTTTTGACTCGGTTACAACTCAGTCTTGGAAGTTTAACTTGCTACAACTCGGTCCCTATAGTTTTATTCATTTTATAATCAATAACAAATCCCCATTAAAAATTTATTTAGAGGATGGTCCCTAAAATTACATGAGGCGGTATTTTTTTTTCAGAAGAAATTAAAAACGCATGTGCAATGGTCACCATACCCTTGATGAAAAAATAATTATTTTTTTTAATGTGCAAGTTGGCTTCTCCAATATGCAAATAGCTCCCAGCATGCGCAGTTACCTTCCCTCTTTCCCCTTTATTAATCTTTAACGGTAATTTGGTCTTCTGCTGTCATATTTATTTACACCAAAAGACCTCAGACATGTATAAAATCGTAGACATGGTTATCTGAATAAATTTATCATTGGGAATTTATGCCTAATTTTTCTTTTTTATAATATTGGTTAAAAAGAAGAGGAAGAAACCAACCTTTTACAATGAAAGAGATTAGGTAACGTTTGTCCTGCAATATTAATGCAGTTGTGACTTCTGTGATTTTTTATGAAGCCTTGTTTATATAATTTTTCTTGCTGCTCTCAAATTAGGTCGCCACGGGAAACCTCTCCGAGAATGGTTAACCAACCCATCAACAACAACACATGCGACATTCATAAATTTATCTATACTCGCGCACAAATCTACATTAGCTAAGTTTGAAATACATGAAGGTTAAGATAAATCACATAATTCAAAAAGTATTCATGCTTTTAAATGGAATATCTGACTTCATTATGCTAGTGTGTCAAAAAAATTATATAATTCGACTTTTAATTTCTAAAAGATCTTCGAAATATAATACATTAAACAATAAATAATATCTATATCTTAATAGGATCTCAAAGACGACGCATATTTCATATACTGTTAACAATACACAATTTACTCCTTTCGTCCTATTTATAAAACATTTCTAATATATTTTATATATAAAAAAAATCTTAAAATGTATTAACTCTTTATTAAAATATAATAACTTTTTAAATTTACCCATATTTATATATATACCTTTTAAAAAAGATAATCATCTACACTATAATAAATGAATGAAGAGATAGTACATTTATACTAAAAATTTAATGAAATAACTTTTAAATAAGGTTAAAAAAATCTTCTTTCTGTCTTATAAAATAAGACTAAGAGTAGTGCTTGCTAGGCTGCTCATAACACACGAGGTCATAGATGTGATTCTGCAGAAAGTTCAATTTTTTTTTCCTTTTTTCCCCCCTTAATCTTCTGAATTGAGATTCACTTCATAAATTATTTACTTCAAATAATTTAAACTCGACAAGTGACTAGCGAGTAGCGACCGCTGTCCTAAAAGAGCCAAAAAGTTAAAAAGCTGTTCACTCCTCAGCCAATATATTTACTCTTTTTCTAAGTTTGCGATCACAATTTCATCTTTGATTTGTGAAAGATCCAATCAGGCAAAAACCCAGGAATTATATTTATTAGAGAAATTGGGGGGTTTGGTTCCACATGTCAAACGTCAATAGATTCTGATAGAACATGTTTGACCCTTGTAGAGTTGAGAAACACCCACCCCACCGACGATGTAATGAAGGAAGTTTGAGGATCTTACGAGATAAACATAAGTCGTGCGACCCCACACATTTTTCATTTGATTCTGTGAACTCAATAGTTTAAGTGGGTTGGCAACTACCCAAAAAAAAACGGCAATCACTTTTTTTTCAAGTATTCAACCGGGCCCAACTGGGGCGGCTCGATTGTTGCTCCATTTGTTCTCTTGGCCTTTCAATTTTTTGATACGTGGCCTTTCAATTTTTGTTTTTTTCTGCCATCAGGTTTTTCATTGGCTTATCCGTTTTGTATTGAAGGATCTTTTTTTTTTTTTTTTTAAAAAATGAGCAGTGTCCTGCTACATAATGAAATATGATCATGCTATCTTAATTTCTTCATAATTTTGTTTTCTGGCAAATATAAATACGCAATTTCAATTTCTTATAGGCATGTTTAATTTTTTTTTTGGGCAAAAGTTTACCAAGTGAAAATCAATTCTCCTACTCACCTTATCCAAGACACTTTTCATTTTGAATTTGGGATCCTAATAGGTTTGAGTTATCCCGAGCCCTTCCTTACACGTTTTTGGGGGAAAAAATTCAATATAGGGTCAATAAAAGGTAAATAAATTTATGAAGCTATTTTGATTTTTTTTTTTTAGTAGAGGCGCCTTGATTTAAATTTTAATTTATAGGTATCAGTTTGAAGAATAACCAATTTTTTGATCGATAAACCAATTTATTCACGACTTATTTCATAAATTTTATATATTGATGGTTTTTAATTCCAAATCTTCCTGCTCATAATTTAGAGGGAAAACATCTTTTTTTCCCCTGTAAACTAAATATCCTTTCATGTGACAAACCAAAAAAAAGAAATGAAAGAATAAAAATAAAATTACATAGAGACTGAGAGAAAATTACACACCATTTATAATTTATGAATAATTTTAGATACAGATAATTTATGAATAATGTAACTCGATAGTTATATTTTATATTTCATATCCATAAGTGTTTTTTTTCCCCTTCCTCATTTTAACTACTAAAAATGGAAATAAGCTTTTGAGCGGACAACTGTGAGTTGCAAGGGCGGCAGTTATATCAGACTAAAAGACTCATAACTAACTGGCTCACTTATTGATTATTCCTGAAAGCTTGTTGCCAACTAAAGAAGGATTATTACTTCACTTTTGGAATAAAATGTGTTTTTCCACCTTTTTTTTAAAAAAAAATAGTAAGTTAAGATGAGGCTAGACCAGCATGAGCGCATAGCTACAACCAGGAGGAACCCCATTTTTAAATACCAGCAATAATTGGGCATAGAATTGCTTGCACATGATAGGAAAGATCAACAATGATTACTCGATAATAAATAATAATCCCAATATACTATGGCTTTAAAAGGCCTGCTCATCTGTAAAATAGTGCAACCAAGATATTTAAAATGAATTTACCCACTATGTGCTGTGACCTGTGATCCACGCTCGGCTTCTGGAGACAGAAGGCCCATCTTTAGTGGCCCTTTTCAGATGCCACGCCATCCCATTTCATCGGATACAAGTCCGTTCCTATTTCGCAAGCGAGACATAACAGCGACCGTGTTGTCAGAAACAACTCGGCTAACGTTGTTTGTTACAAGGCAGAGGGAACAGGATGCTGCACTCTATTATTCTGTCAAATGTAGACTATTAAAATGGGAAACGGGAATTGACACTCACCTAATGATGCAGCCGTATAAACCCGGTGCGTTTGAACATGGTTAAACTTCTTCATCAGGTATGGGCTGTGAGCTAAGAAGTCTTTCGGCCTCATCATTGGCTTCGACTTGTATTTTCCATCTCTGCATCAAAGCATATAATTAGTAGGGTCGCCGGGAAAAAAAGGCAAAGGCTAGCGGCAATGGAAGAATGAGCACATGGTTTGATCGGAGAAGAGTAACATGGTTATTATCACGAATGACGTCCTCGTTTAAAACAGGATTTCACTTTTAAGACTGTACGAAATTGTGAAGCTAATTCTCCCTTTATCATATAAAGTTAGCACTCATACTACGGTCGCTCAGTCAGTTATGAAGGAGGCAAATCCTAATGGCTTTCCTAAAGCTGCATGTGAAGGGGAAAACAATGGTTTCATCCTACATTTCCTGTTAGTGCAAACAAAAGCTCATTGTTTCTTTTGGTTTACAAAAGAGAGCAAAACTAATATCCAAGGGAGACAACCCAAAAAAAAAAAAAAGCTTATTGTTGGCATTCCACTTCTTTAGTCTAAGCAGTACAGCACTCTGAGCAAACGCTTTTGTGAATGTTTATTATCGAGGCCATATTCAGGTCTACAATGTCAGATACGAGGCTTCCATGTAAAAAGAACAACACTCCTCAAGATTTTCAAGCTCCATGATTTGTTGTATCTGTTCCATGATACTATCCTGTACAGAAGTCCTCAGTTGAGCAATTATCCCAATCATACCAATATAACATCAGTCGTCGCCCAAGATAAATATGACAGAATTACCGCATTGCTGGCAGTTTCAGCTGCGGGAACATCAGTGTCCATCTCCACCTCAATTTCAATCATTGAAGAGATCTGTCCACAAAGTACTATCAACTTGCATTTTTTGACGGAACTAATTCAAAAACACAACCAGGAAAGCTAGGTTTTCTAAACCTCAGAACCATACAAAATTTGAATTAATTGTCAGAGAAGCCTTACTCTGGCATAGCTGTCAATCAATTCAATCCGTCCCCTGAGGGACTTTTGCAAGCTCTCTTGTACCCTCTTGATTCTACTTTTACGAGCCCTAGAAGAAGGGGAAATGAGAAAATAAAAAACTTTGAGTAGACCAACATAAATGGTTATCTACATGGAATAGAACAGTAATTTCAGGGGTACAGTGAGAATCAAGAAGAGAAGGCAATGGTAATTCACCGATATGAAGGTTCTCCAACGACAGAAATTTTGTTTTCCAGTTGGCACATTCGAGCCAGCATCCATACCTACAGAGAAAAATCATATTTGTACAACTCAGACTACGGTACATGCATGCCTACAAAAGGAGAAAAAGAACAAATTATTTTTCCTTCCATTTCAAAATAATTATTGCTTTAGTTTTAGCCTTGTTTCAAAATAATTGTTGCTTAAGAATTTCAATGAAACGTTAACAATTTTTGTGCCATTTTCCTATGAAACTAATGGTAGGTAGAGTAAGCGCCATAATATTTTTAATATTTTAATAAAAAATCTTTAGATTTTGCTATAATCTAAAGTCTAGACTATTTATTAGTTTTCTCAATCTATGTAGATAGCCTTACATGATAATTATTTTGAATCAGAGGAGGCATTATCATCGAATACATTTTCATGAAATATATAACCTCACCTTATAAGTGAGAAGCACCACCCAATGAGCTTTGCTCAGAACATATCCAGAGGCTACTAGGGGCGTTTATCTAAAATTTACAATTATATTGCCCAGAAATAAATTCTATAGTTTGCTTAAATGATAAATTTCTGCATTCAAAGTTTAAGAACTCGTCTTTGGAAAATGATTGATTGATTGCTACTCAAACATACGATGCCACTTACATATTAAAAGCCTGATAAAGCTATATCGTGGCAAATGAAATACCTTGAGCCATCACAACTCCAATGATGTTTTTCTGTTCATATGCAGTTTTGCAGTGTTAATTTATACTCTATGCAAAAATGTGCATCAGATTTCCATCTGGCGCACATTATGCATGCACATAGACATGCCTGTTGGGTGAACATGTGCGATGCAAGCCCAGAAGACCAATTACACACAAAGGTAATGTTTGAACATGACGGCAGTTTAGAGTGAACTTAGAAAAAAAATTAATATCAACTGACGTTAGGAGCCGACTGAAAGAGCCTTTTTTTTTTTTTTTTTTTAAATATCGTCCTTCAATTTCAATCTTGGATGATCTAAAACGATATTTCTGCTTATTGCAATAGAAAAGAAAAGGAGCTAGATGGATAGACTTCGTTATCATGATCTCACGTCAGCGGACTTTACGTCACATCCTTCCTCGGTGATTAATCAGATTCCCCAAACAAACCTACCCATGTTCTAAATATAAGACCATGAGATGTCCAGAGTGTAAATGCATGCTAACAAATTTTTCTCTACAGGGAAGTTGGAGTGGAAGAATAGAAGAAATAGAAAACTTCGGAAGGAGAAAGGCTTAGAAAAAAGCCAGAATTCAATGTGCTAATGAAAAATCACGCAAGGAGCACACCTCTTTTTCAGAAGCTTCTTTTAGGTCTTTGATGCGAGATTGAAGCACATCATATTGAGATAAAAGTTGCTGTTTGATAGCAATTGCTTCGACTGATCCTTGTGGAAGCTGCCACAATGTAAAAAATAAATAGATGTAGATTAAATTGATGGCTTTATTTATAATATTCAGAATAAATTGAAGGATATATGGGTACGGGGCAGTGGGTGCAAAGGAAAATGAAGCCATGCTGATTTCAATAGATTACAATAGTATAATAAATTACAAGAGTCGCATGTAAAAAAAAAAAAACAAAGAAGGAAATTAATATTAAAAGAAAGAACTAAAGTACCTGATTCACTGGGGAAAATAAAAGAATTTAATGTTGCCCCAACAGCAAGAGATGAAACTGCAACAACTGATATAAACTGGGGCAGGCTGGGGTCAATAAGTCCAGATGCAGCATCACCGGTTGCAAATACAGCAAGAAGAGGAAAGAGGAAAGAGGGTTTAAGCAATGATGAATCTCCTTCCTTTCTTGGGGCTCTTAACAGAAGTGATTCTCGGCCATCTTTGTGGTTCGTCAAACACATAGCCTCACCAGGATAGAAATCAGGGGCCCTAGGACTAAATCTAAAGGGGCCCACCTCTCTATAGACATTGGATGGAGTTGCCACAGCAACAGTTACCCTTTCTCCCACTTGCGCTGGCACATCAACTGTTTCAGTGGCAAATCTATGCGTACGAGCCATCCCTGAAGGGGTCTGCACCTGGATGGTGGGAGAATAAAGGATTAATGAAAATAATTTAAGAAATGACTATTAATATTTAGAAGAATGGACATGAGCAAAATTTCTGAGGCCAGCACCCCGTTTGATAAGAAACCATTATGGCACAAACAAATAGCAAGTTAAAGGACAGACAAAAAGGACTAATGAAGATGGGAAACATACACCACAAAAGAAGAATGTGGTGCCGGACACAGAAATTTGTGGTACCTGTGCTGTAAAGACTACCCAAAAAAAAAACTTTACAACTGTACCAGGAATAGAACCATTAAGTGCACGTGCCTCTAAGAGAGATCCTACTTGGGGTGAAATGGTTGAAATCATAAGCTTCAACTTCTATAATGAAGTAACCATTCCAGATGTTTTAAATTATTAGTAAAGAGCTAACAACAATAGTGAGATGGCTAGAAGACAGGTAAATAAAAAATCAGAATATTTGCAAAGGTCACAACTTTTTGATTTATTTATTTTTTTTTTACTGAAGTTGCTACCAGCAGAAGGATGTGCTATCATAACTTAGAAATCTAGAAAAGCTGATGCATCAAAAGATATTCATTCCATAGCTGGATTCTGAACTTAATAACCAACATGGACATGTCATGTAAAGGTCCCGATGCATGATTATTTAATCAAAGGTAGACCCAATGATAAACCAAAAGTGAGTGAAAAGTAAGTACCACAATAGAATGAACTGCAGCAGGAAAGCTTTGCTTCTTCAGTTGGAGGAATTTTAACCCCCTTTCCCATGGCGTAATATCCATGCTGCGTTCGGCATGAGGATATCCTTAGGCAAAGTGAGTATTCCTTGATTAACTACGCATGCATATTGTTCAATCAACAAAAATAAACAGAGTGGAAAATCTCAATTGTGTTGCTTCCTGCTAAAGCTATGGTCTTGTGGACTAGTAGAAACTTGAATCTGAAAAAGGAAGTTATAACTTATGTATCCTCCTTATTCTCAATAAAATAAAAATAAATAAAAAAGTTTAGAAAATACAAAGTAGCCATGTCCACCAAAAATTAATTTTAGGAGTATTGTTTTTAGTTGAGTAGACAGAAAGAAAATAGTAAACGGAATGCTATGATTAACCAACCTGATTTCTTCTGATTGAATACTGATTATGTCACCAGAAACAAGTTCATATTGGTAGCGACACTTTGCACAGGATACCAACTGCATAAGAAATATTATTTTGCGTCCACCTTAGAAGTTTCATATAATTATGAGAGTTTTATACCCATATATGTCTGAGAATCAACCGCAAAATATACTACTGCTTTCTATGCCAACCTAGGATCACAACATCCCTACTTCCATGTAAGAATTATGCTGATGAGGACAATAACTATAGATGGCCCTACTTACTCAAGTATATTTAATCATTCTCAAACAAACCTGAATGGAAAGGAAAGGGAGTAATCTAAGGATGAAACCTCTACGAACTAATAGTTTAAATTTTTTTTTCCCCTTGGCTCTTCCTTCTAAGGCGCTACTATAGCACATTTGAGTCGATGTAAGCATACCAAGATTAAAATTTTGGCAAGGTTTAGGATTAATGAATTATAATTTTATTTGCGGAAGAGGTGGGAGAGAATAGGCAGTTTTCTAGTGCACTGGATGGATGCTGAACCTAAGCTTACTCTTATTCTCAATTTATTATCCCAATGAGGAGTACCTGTGTTTCTTTAAAATGAATAAAATTACCAAGATATTCAAAGAGATAGGGATAAATACATTAAAAATATGTCAACGAAGTAATAAAATGTCCTAATTTTGTTATCCTAGAGGCCACGATAATGTAGATCTGCCTCCCTAATCAGATGCAGCTGCATCAAATTTGTGACACAGGGGTCTAACATGCAAAGAACACATGGAAATACCTGAATACCTTGTTGTGGCTGCGCAACAGCAACGGCTATCCTACAACTAGGACATCTGACTATCTTTCCAAAAGGAACCTGCAAAAATATCTACAGAGTTATGATAACAGTAATATTAAAAGCATCAATAACAAAGCCATAAATAAATATGATTTTGAAAACATCAATGAAGTCGGAGATGGTTTTAAGTTAAATTCATAAATGAGGCTAGTACAATATATAAGGCACAGAGGCAGGACATAGAGATGTTTTAATCATACCTCCTCACCAGGAGATACTGCCACTTCACAAATATATTTAATCACCCTGAGAGCATCTGAAACCCTCAATGATGATGCAAGACCCTGAATTAACAATGTATAGACATGTGCATTTGGCCTAGACCACCTCCATCTCTTAATCAAAGGACCGTCCTCAGCAACTGATCATGGCACATCAGCATCAGCATTATCCAATTGAAAAGCAAAAGCAAAAGAACAAAGTGAATTCACAACGTAAGTGCCACATCGGTTCTCAGAAAATCAGCTTTCAGCTGGCAAAGAATATCATCTTAAACCAACATGACGGTAAAAGAAATCTTAAACCAGACGCAATTTAAACCTCTAGAGTTTCACGTTTGTATTTTGTAATCTAGATCAGCAACTTGTTCCAAATGTTAAAACCCGCTAACAACAGAGGCAAGAAGGGAAATCTTCCAAGACAGTTACAGCTGGGCTGGGCTGTATATATCTAGAGCGTGAAATATGTAGAACTGCTCATTGCGTCCTCCGATAACGGCTAGATTGGGAGCTACGTCGTCTTTGTTTTATTATTTCTTCCCGGTTGGTTTAAATTTTATTTTTAGTTTCCTTGGGAAGTTTGGTTCTGTTGAGGCCAAGAAAGAGTTATTAGTGCAGCAAAATATCGAAACTGAAGGAAGAGTTACCAACCGTGATCATAGTAACCTTGATTAAAACTGGCGCGCATAGCGAAGAATACCGACAAAGCCAGCTCTGCATTGTTTCGATTAAGTGCCGCTGATATAATGGAGCAACAATCAGCCGTGCAAACGACACCGTCATCTTTTCTAGACCTTTCAGCGATCATCTGCAATGCCTCATTGGCGTCTTCAGCAGCAGCAATTCTTGCGAGCAACTCTTGGTCCAATAACTCGGAAACGTTGTTTTCTGAAATCTCATGATCGCTCTCGCTCACAGAAGCTTTAGCCTTGATGAACTTCGATATATTGAACGAAACTGAGGAACTCCCCAGAAGCCGAGGCAGAAAAGAATTGTTGTCACAGTGAAGAGCGCATGTTTCGCAAAGTTTAGGGAGACTTGGAGGAGAAGGAGGAAGAAGCCGAGAGAAGCGAGCAGCGCACGTGGTCAAAGTCATAGCAGGGATGGAGAGGATTGGAAGGAGATAACGGAAGTCTCACTGAACTAACCTTTCGCGCCGATGCTCCATTCTGGGTGTTGCTGAAGATCAGAAACGAGAGGTGGCAGGCGAAGCCAAGTAAGGAATACAATGCGCATACAGGATCATAAAGGATAACGGTGCGGTAGCATTTTCAGCCGCCCAATAGAATCGAGACAAATATCTCATCCGTCGATTATTTTTTTTAATTTTTTAAAAAAAGAGCGTCTGAAATTCTGACCCTCTTGACTTGAAGGAATTATTTTAACATTTGAAATTTTATTATTGAGAATGATTTAAATTAAAGTATTACTACTTTATATGTATAAACTTTTACAGTGCGTTTTTTGTATAAAAATTTATGAAGTCTTCTTATTGATAAAATCTTCAATGAAATTTTTTTCCTTAATTTTTCCTTACAAATATCGGTTTGAAAAGTTATTTAGCTAAAAAGATTTGGTATAGCTCATTTCCAATTAGTATCATATTTTAGTTTGGGATAATTAATCCGGAGCTCCTTATAGTTTCAACTAATTTTGAATCAGGTCCTTATGGTTTTTTTTTTTTATCAGGTCCTTAAGCTTTCACTTGTTTTTAATTAGGTCTTTGTATTTATTTTTCTTTTTATCAAGTTCTTATAAGTTCACTTTATTTTTAATTAAGTCCCTGAATTTTTTATTCTTTATTTTATAAATTCTAATAGTACTATTATATAAACATAAAAGAGTATATATTATTTAATATTAGTTTATAAACAATAATATTCTAAAGATATTGAATTATTATAATGATTTTAATTTTTTCAGTAAAAAAATTAATTGTTCTAAAAAAATTTTCTGAATTAATTAATTCTATTACTTTTTTATTACATAATTATTAATTTAATTTAATTATTAATATTTATATTTCAGTATTAATCTATTTAATTAAGCTTATATTTAATTAATAAATAAAAATTAAAACTACATGGACCTGATTAAAAATTTAGTGAAATTATAAGGACTTAATTAAAAGAAAAATAAATACAAGGACCTAATTAAAAAAGGTAAAAGTATAAGGACCTGATAAAAAGAAAAAAAACTACAGGGACCTAATTCAAAATTCGTTGAAACTATAAGGACTTGTAGATTAATTAACCCTTTTAGTTTTGTGCTCCTTTGGTCCTAAATATAAGACCTTTTTTATAGTGTAATTTACATTATAAAGAGAGTTTTATATTTAGAACAGAAAGAGTATATCTTACCTTTAATTATATGCAAAAGTTTTTAAAATGAGAGTTACTCCTCCGGTCCTTAATATAAGACCCATTTAACTAATTTGATTAGATTAAGGAAGTTAGGTAAGTTAGTTAATTATAATAAAAGTGACGTACTTTTCCTAAAACACCATAATCATCTTTTTTAATACCCCCTCTCCTTCTTCTACTTGATTATGGTTGAGGGAGTATCCATAGGGGTAATTTAGAGAAAATTGATAAATATGACAAAGGGGTCTTATATTTAGGACCAAAATCAACACAAGAATTGGGTCCTATATTAAGGACAGGAGGAGTATTGCATATCATAGAAGATATGTTGAAAAATGCTGAATAAGAATTACACCTTACTCAAATTCAAGTGTCAATAAAATTCTTAGTATGTTAATTTTTAACCAGCTTTCCATAATTTTAATGCACTTACCTGAAATTTTAAACCAAATTACCATCTGCTTAATCATCTTATACACATACCTGGCCAAAAAAAAAAAATTCTTATAAACATACTGCAGTTGACCTTTTTCACTAAATGGAGTACAATAAAATTGTCTCCTTTAAAAGATGAGTATACTTCAGTGGCAATTAATAAAATCATCTGAATGCTAGTGTGTACACATAAATCGTGATGAAATTCGTACGGCGTATAATACAAGCAGGAACAATGGAACATGCACCTCAAATCTCAACAAGGAAATAATATAAATTTATCTAATGTGAAGAAGATATGGAGGAAGAAGGGGACACAGATGATGAAGCCGAATCAGAAGCAGAAGAAGGTGTGAATGTAGGTGAATTCCGGCAAACGGGACACGTGGCGTTCATTCTGAGCCATTCATCTATACAGTGTGCGTGAAAATAGTGATTGCAATCGGGTATGGTTCTCAAGGCCTCCTTGGGCTCATACTCCGACAGGCATATGGAGCAAATGTTGTCATTGGGCTTCGGTAGCCGCCTGCTCTCGCCCAGAAGAGTCATGGGATACTTTTCTATTGTGGACCCATCGAGGCCCATTCTGAATGGGCTGGACTGGACAGCAAATGCTGTGATGGGGAGATCTGTGCTGGGCCTCGTATTCCGACGACGTCGTATCTTGCCGCAGATGATACAACCGAGCCCAATTAAACACAGGACTCCAGGTATTCCCACTCCTATCGTTAGCCCATATTTTACACCTTTTGGAATACCTGTTTCAATTTTCAAACGTGGCCTCAATCAATGCATCATTTTTCTTGTAAAAATAATAATTATAAGAAAAAAAACTTAGACCAAATTTCTTATATCTTTTTTAAGGAAAAAAACACATGACTATGTGTTATTGGAAACTTAATATAATAGACAGAAAGAAATTGATATAAGTATTATCCTAATTATAATAAATTCAAAATTTTATTTTAACAATTTTTTTAAAAATTTAAAGATTAAATAAATAGAAAATAATAATTAAAATTTTAAAGTATTTTTATTTTTTATATTTTAAATAAATAAAAAATATGTAATTTAAAATATACGATTTCTTCTTCGATATACAACCAATGACCCATGGGAATGTGAGGTGTGTGGATATATTGTCTTATATCTCCTATACTAGTGCCGGCGTAGAATTTTCAAATGGTCAACAACTTGTTGGAAAGTAAAAATATTAGTATTAATTATAAAACCTTATTTATAGATTATAAATAAAATTTTATAATTTACACCAGAAATAGTATGTTTTATGGTTTTTTAAAGGATGACAGGGGTGTACGCATATAGACCCCAACCTAACAAGTAACAAGCCAAGGGTTCTCAATTTTCCACCTCAACAAATGTTTTAAATTTTCATGGGTCCCGCGGGCTCTTGTAAGCAAGCATCTATCCTACAGCAAAACTTCGCTTAAATTATCTGATCCTAATTCTTCCCTTCTTTTTGAAACAATGGCACGAGTCACGACCGCTTCAATCTCCAACCACCCCAGGATTTTTGAACAATAGAAAATCTGTATCACCTGGACCAGTTTGGTCTCCAACTGACGCTAACTACTAATTAACTACGCATATCACAAATTTCAAATTTTAACCCAAAACTTTGGCATATCATGAATTAAACCGAATATTTGAGTGTTTTTTCATGTTAAAACTAAGGAATTCATTGTGCGAAACAGAGTCCGGAGAATCAATTCCCAATTAGCACAGTTTCATGCCTACGAATGAGAGTTGTTAGAACTAAATAACTCCGGAACATGCTAATTGATGGAGGAGAAAACAAGGCAGTTAACTTTGCTATGTCGAGTTCGCCTAATCAAACAAAACTTAGGCGTTCAGAACGATGATCTTAGGAAACAATAAGAACAGACACACACACACACACAGAGACACACAGACTCACAGAGAGAGGGTACCTGAGCTTTCCTGGGAACGAGAGAAACATCCTGTTCGGAGACCCATACGCTCGGCGAATCCACAATCTAGTCCTCGAGATTCACAGGGGCCACAACGTGGCCTGCCCCACGTCAACTGTAAATCCTCGCCGATATCGACCCAGAAAGGCCACGGGTATATGGCGGAAATCGGGTAGGGGACAGAAGAATTAATGACCTCACAAGATTCATTCAAAGGCGGAGGAATGGATCGCATCCAAACGTACGTCACAGCGAAAGAGGAATTGGCAGGATCGTTAAGACAACGAACTGAAGTGAGTGGATTTTGCGTCAAGTTAGAAGGGCAACGAAGGAAGGTGAGGTTGATGAGATTGTAAAGGTCAGGATCGAGTTGGAAGGGCGAAGCTAAAGAAAGGTTGAGACCCTTCAAGAACCGTCTTGGAAGGCACTGACCAGGATCGTTGACCCAAAGGGTTTCGGAGGCATAATCGATGTCGTTGATCACCAAGTCGCCTGATTCTGGCAGCGTCAAGATGGTCTGGCTCTGATTATTGCACCAAACACTGAACTTTGGGTAGCTACATCGACGACTCTGGTTGACTCCTCTTAGACCGAAAGGGAACTTGATCTCGATTCCTCCACAAGACCTGCTCGTGCAAGGCTCCACTTCTTCAGCCACAGTTGCGCCCGGGATTATCAGTAACAATAATAATAACAACAGAGAGGCTAATAAGGGAGTCATTTCAGAGAGATGAAGCTGCCTATTATTGTTGTATAGCTCTCCTCTTTTGTTTGACACAGACAAGGGGAGGAGGGTGATGATGTTGAAGCTAAGCTTAATTAGTGGGACCTCAGAAATCATTCTATTTTATCTGTGTCAATGACTGGCCATGAATAGATTACTGCAATGCAACAGTGGGAGTTCCCCAGTAACTGTCCAACGCGTCAAAGACGACAGGGACTAGAATGATCAGCTTCTGACTAATGCATGGTTTAACTGGTTTGCTTGTGGGTGCATCTCTCGCTCCACAGCTAACCAACCCTTTGGGTTAATTGAATTCTTCTCTAAGCAGCTTTCCCGACCTAACCCCGGCCGGTCAAATATGGTGATCCGTAAAGGCCCTTCCTCTCTCTCTCTCTCTCTCTCTCTCCCCCCAGTTCTCAAACAAACACCCAACCAGTTCTTGCTATCTGAATCTGAAGTCAAAGCCTGCTTGGTTTTTTAACCTTATATCTCTAAACCACGCGCCAAGCAGGTCGATTACGTGTTGGAGTTCAATTCCACGTACGTCACCTTTGATTGAGAAGCTGGTATAGATGTTATGTTCAAAAATAAAATTAATCACTCTTCCTTTTATTACTCTTCAACCGCAGTAGCCAAAAAATTAATATTCTTAATTAACTAGTAAAAAATAAAAATATTGGCAATTTTATTAATCATATAATTTTTTCCATCATTCATATCTACCTATTTTATCTATTATCTATTAATGGTAAGATATCATGATGTGTCGCCAGTTTTCGAAAGAAAGAATGATTAATTAATGGGAAAACAATCTTCTTTTTTTTTTGGGGTCCGCACTTTAATTAGCATCCGCTCCTCTTTGTGACTCTAAAAACGAGTTTGCCATCGACAGAGTAAAATGACCATTGGACCAACCTCTCCCTACTTAATTACAAGGTTTGCATTATTTATTTATTTCTCAGTCACATATTTTATTCAAATATACCGTGACTCTGAAGGCGAGCATGACCAATTCAACTTTTATTTTGATCAGCAGCCTGAATAAACTAGCTAGTCGTATTAAATTTTATTTCCTGATAAGATATAATTAATAAATTAACGATGCAACTATAGGGCATTGACAATCAACAGTTCAGTAGTGATATGGATGAATTGCTTCTGATACAGAACCCTTCTGCATCAGATATATGCTTTTCACTTTACAATTCAATACACAAGCCCAAAACCAATTTCCTAGCTACAAATTAAACACAAAAAATGAGCCAAAAGCAACTGTGAAATGCCAAGAACAAGAGAGGCAAAGAGGAATATAATTACGAGTGGTGGGGTAATTTTCGACACAAGGGACAAGTAGCGTTCATGCGGAGCCATGAATCTATACAATTGGCGTGAAAGTAATGATTGCAATCTGGGATTGTCCTCAAACTGTCTTGGGGTTGGTAATCACTGAGGCATATAGAGCAAACGTTGTTGTCGGGTCGGGCAATCGCCACTATCCCCAATCCGAGTCATAGGATACTTGTCTATGCTTTCTCCATCAAGCCCCATAACTACTATAGACGACCACCCTGCGACATTATTCAGTTCAATATTTCTGCTTTGCCTTCCATCTTCGTTCCTTCTTCGCCTCCCTTTACACATGTACACGATTCCGATCACACTCAGCAACCCAGGAATTCCCACTCCAAAGCCTAATCCGTACTTGGCAAACTTTGAAAGACCACCTTCACAAGTATATATCTAAAATCATTAGTATTATCTTTGTCAGCCATCGAAAGAGGCGCATATCTATTTGTGTGAATTAAGGGATATATATATACCTTGGTGTGTTAAATAGCAAGCGACTTCAAGACCTGTATTCTTCAAGAACTCACACCGTCCATTCTTCGCCACACAGTCTCCACAGCTTGGAGTGTTCCATTGCAAGCCTATATCAGCATTCAGGTCCCCCCAGAATATTCCATTGGGGATAGAAGAGGGAACTGAAGCAGAGGAAATGGGCTTACACCCCTCGATCCATGGCGTAGAAAAGGGAAAATCTGACAAAACAGCGAACACCGAATGGTTCTGGTTGAGGTCAGAGCTTAAGCAAGGGATGGGTCGACGTTGGTACTGCTGGGTGACGTTGGAGGAGCAGTTGAAGAAGGTGAAGTTCATAAGGCCATAATCATCGCTGAGTTGGAAGGTGGAATCTGTGAGGTTGAATTCGTTGTTCATGAATCGTCTGGGGAGGCAATTATCGGGGTCTCTGATCCAAAGCTTTTGATCTTCATAGGAGATTAAATCCACCAGGAAGTCTCCAGCGTGTGGGAGATGAAGCATCGTTCTGCTTTTGTTGCAGGAAAGTTCAAAACCAGGGTATCCACAACGAGTGTTGCTTCCATTCGCTAATTCGTCTCTGACCAACTGGAAAGGGAACTGAACGGGAAATTCGTTCGGGTCGCAATATGTCTCGCACATATGAATACTTCTTGTTGTGGGACAAATAAGGAAGAGGAAGAGGAAGACGGAGATGAACCCTGACGAATGAGCCATGAGAGAACATGCCTGTGTTGAATCAAGACGGGGGACTACATATATGGGGTATGTCTGATTGGACTTCTGCCAACGATCGGGACTTTGACCATTTTGAGCATTTTCTCGGAATTTTTGTGCAGGACTAACCTGTAACATCGACCTATGGTAGATTACCACATTGACCAGCCAATGAGTTTTTTTTTTTGACCTCATAAGATTATATTTTCATTAAAATAAGAATCAAGACAAACAAAGCCCAATAAAAGACCAACAAAGAAAGGCCATCGAGCTAACAGCCCAAAACAAAAACCCTAACCCGTCACTAAAACTAGAAGATAAGCCGCCGTCGAGTTCACTAGAGAGGAACCCCGTCGATTTACCGGAATCTGTAGGGAGATAACGTTATCACCGGCACTGATGCCAAAGTAAGGGGTTGGGGTTTGAAACAACCACCCCCAAAGGACCCACCCCTCTTGTAGGCTAAGAAGCAACCAAGAATGGTTGTTACAATTATGGGAGAACCCATAGAACTGATGCCTACAGTCACCAGCCAAATATACGGCACCGGAGAAAAGATAGAGCTCACCGTGAGCCACCCACTTACAGACCCTGCTTGATAATGCATATACCCCACACTAACAGCTTTGAATCGCCCCCACCAAACAGGACCAGCAACTATCCTCCGAAAGATAGAACAAAAGGCAGCAGAGATAGTCACCAACAGTGCCCTTCCGCCAAAAATGTATATCCAAGCCATATTATCGAGATCTGATCTATAACCATCAGAGCAAGCGGTGTCGGAATCAAAACCCACAAGATTGATTATTGCCGGAGAGATAAAGAGCACCACCATAGAAAACCCATCACCACAAAAAAAGAAAGAACAGACGACACAAAGGACGGACGTCCCCTCCTTTGGTGGAGACCGCTGAGGAGGGAGAGAACGATGACTCCCACCGCCTCAAGAGCATTCTAAGGACGGGAGAGGAAAAGCTCGCCCCAAAGACGAGAGAGATAACCAGCCAATGAGTTGGACAAATAGAAAGTGTTGTGTATATACATCCTGCTAAATTTGGTTACGGTGGCGTGAGAGCCCTCTAGCGTACGGGAGAGGATCCAGATCCTTTACAAAGTCCCCTCATATATGCGGGGAGGGGAGGGTATCTATCAAACCCGTATAGGTTTTTCGGGGCTTTTGGACAACATCAAACATGAACAGTTTGCTGGTGTCAATATACTGTACATTTAACTCAATAATTTTTGCCCAGCCTGTGAATAAAGATATGATTCTTTCTTTTTTTCCCCCCAATGTGCGGCTTGCTAGTGTAAGACCAAACAAGTTAAAAGACACATAGCGACAGTCAAAGCACAGTTTAGCACTGCTGCTGCTACTATTATTACATTATTATATGGCTGGTTTAATAGAAAAGGCGGAAGGAAAATATATGCGTGTAAGTGGAAAAAAACGGTGGATGTGAAGAGTATTTTTCTCAGTGTGATTCGCATAAACAGATAGAGGGATTACAAAAAATTATGAAGCAACTGCAACAAATCAATGGCGGCAACTCAGAGACAATATCCTCAGGTTGACCTTCTGTGCACTGATTGTTTGTTTTCTCTAACCTTTATCTTTTAGATCATTAAAAGAAGCCGAAGCCAACTAAAAGGGTGTTTGACAACCTCCAAATCATAGTTTCAGGAACACTTTTTTACAAAACGAGGCAAATTCCTTCATATATTTACTTTATAAACTGTAAAAACATTTCTGAAACCATAGTTTAGTTTCTATCCAAACACCTCGTAAAGCTTTAACTTTTGTTGTCGTGAATCTTCTCGCCACTCCATTATCTATCTGTAACTTCTTTTGCAATTTCCCCCATATAACCCAAGCCCATATACAACATTCTTGAGTCATATGAAATCGTTTCTTAAAAAAAATGAAAGAAATATAAATCAAAGTACATGTTGTGAATCATATATAGCTGGTCATCTCATATATCCCCCCCAAAAAAACCTAAAAAAATTAAAGATGTTTTATTTTCTCAGAAAGAAAGGAAACATGACTTCGATTCTTCCCCCCTCATCATATATATACCAAATTTTTCTCCTGCAGATAATGACAACACATTTACATGGCCAACAAAACATGCACACGTGCACATACAAATATTTAAGTGGGGGTCAACGATGGATGAGAGGCTGGTGAAGGGAGGGACAATAATGGAGATCCATGGGGAAGATGACGACACAAGGGACACGTGCCCTTCTTCTTGAGCCACCCATCAATACAATGGGCATGAAAATAGTGATTACAGTGAGGAATGGCTCTTAATGTGTCCTGTGGTTCATACTCGCTCAGACATATAGAACAAACGTTGTCACTTGGATTGGGCAATCTTCCACTGTGACCAACTTGTGTTTTCGGATACTGCTCAATGACTGACTCATCAAGCCCCATTCCCACATCAACAGATTCCGCCGTGTTCCTCTCCGACGCTGCTCCGTTCGTCCTCCGTCGTGGCAAGCCGTTCGGTCCCACCTTAGTCCCTAATAAACGTGCAAGTCCCACCACACCAAAGCATATCGCCCCAGCTACTCCCACCGCTAATATTTTGTAAATTGTGTGATGTGGAGGTTCTCCTTGTCCGTAAAACGATTCGTTTTCATCAGTACATAAGTCAAGCAAAAATAGAAACAATTAAGCAGACGACTTACAAACACATAAGGTTCCTTTCTCTAATTTAAATAATATCTCCATCGACTCTTAATATAAGAGTTAAATAGCTAATCTAAAGATATTAAAAAAATTAGTTTAAGATTTTAAGTTGATTGATTAAAATAAATATATGTTGGTTTTTTTAAAGTATCTTATTTATCATGTGCAGTGAAATTATCTCTTAAAATTAATGAGAATATTATAGAAAAAACATTATAAATTTGAGAAACAAAATGTTAAAATTTTATATTTAAGGCCAGATCCAATTTCGCTGTTGATAAGAACAGTTTTAGTGCTGATATATTTCATTCGTACGGACGCACCTGGGAAATTGTCATAGCAAGCAGTGTCATCATCAGCAGAATCCGGATACGAGGGGAGTATGCAGTAGGGTTCGTTCCATTTCAAGCGAATATCGGAGTAAGGGTTTGTCCATATCTCGGGTTCGAAACTATCATCTGGAACTAAAGACGAGAAAATATGCCGGCATCCTGGGAACGACCTCGAGGTTGTTGGAGAGGCAGGATCAAACAAAACAGCGATCACCGAGGAATTGTCGCTGTCTGTGCCGCTGAGGCAAGGTATCTTGATGTGAGGGAACTGAAAGGAGTCTGGGGCAGAACAGTTGAGAAAGTCGACGGTGAGGAAATGAGCGTAATCGGAGCTCCATTGGAAAGGCGAACGTTGAAGTTGACGGTCCAAGCCTTTGAGGAAGCGTGAGGGGAGGCAGTTATCTGGGTCATTCATCGAAGTTGTATGGTCCTTCAAAGAGATCTCTTTGACAACAAAATCTCCGGCATCTCCGAGCGTGATCAATGTCTGGTTAAGGTTGTCGCAGAAAACTCCGAAGTTTGGGTACCCACAATCATCGCTTTGGACTCCTTTCAGATAAAAAGGGTACTGAATTGAGGGCCCATCAAATGCCGAGTCTCCGCATAATCTTATTCCGCACGTTTGTTGGGTGGCGGTGCTTGTTATTTGATGAAGGAAAAGCAGTAATGAAAATAAGAAACAACCTGGGGAGCTAGCCATTAGCTAGGCGAGGTAAGACTGTAATGAAATCCAACGTAAAACACAGGATATCGATGATGTTACAGCAATTCATATTCTTCAGACCATAATTTTGTTGAATTGAACCTGGTTTTAGTCGTCCAACGCATATTCTTTTCACTGAGCAAATTTGGATTACTTGAGCTTAAATTCCTTTCCTGCTATCCACCATTCATTACAAGAATGTAGACTGTTCTTGCCGTCTAGATGATTTCAATGCATCTTCAATCGTATGGTGATGTTTCCAATGGAAAAAATGGGAAAAGGTCACAGATTAATGTATTGTTATGAAATTAATCAATAAAAAAAGTAGATTAAGGAAGAGATGTGGGCAAGAAAATGAGAGAATGATATTGTATTCCTTCATTTACTTCATTTGCATCACAATACAATGACATGCCTTATTTATAAGCATAGTCTTACACATAAGCTACACTTATACTTAAATGATATATAATAGACAATAAACCACATGAATGTGAATGGAGGATGAGTTAAAAAATTAAAATTATTTACTTCATTTATTGATACGATCTCCCTTCTTTTATAATACTATCTTTAATACTTAATATAAGATTTCGTTTGATATTTAATTTGATTATAATTATAAGAACTTAATCTACTTTGTCTCTCATATTTATTAAGACAGTTCTTATAGTAGCTGCACATGTTAAAGATTTTTTCAAATGGTAGTTTTAGCTAATACACATGATTAGTAACAGTATTTTAAGAAAGACAACACTTATTTATTGCAAATAATTAATTTAACTAATTTTTTTAACTTACTTAAATTAATTAGTTCTTATATTAAGAATATGAAGTAATATATATTATGATGCTCACTGGAGCCAGCATGGTAATTTCACCCACGGAGATGTAAATGAGAACTGAGAAGTAGCCAATAGCACTTCAAGCCTCTACGTGTATATCAAATTGTTAATCATGTTGTTAACATGTGAAAAATCACATTATTGAACTAACTGATTCCAGACATGCCTTGAGAAAAAGTAACCGATGAGATACAGATTTAAGTTCCATTCTCTTTCAAATCATATATCTATGGATTTACATCCCAATTACATTAAGTAGAAGTAATTTGGTGGCACATATCGAAGAAGCGAAATGTAACGCATAATTAATAATTGCTTTTCTAAATTAAATCAGGTTAGCACCTTGAGTATGTTGGTGATTAATAATATATGCTTTGCATAAACCGAAAAAATTCGCCATTATTAATAGCATCTTCAAAAACGATACTAATCATGCATTATTATTTTGGTTACTAGCAGAATTTATTAATTATTATCGTTAGTTTCTTGTTACCACCGGCACAATAACCAAACACTATATATCTTTTGTAATGAAAAAGACTTAAAAGCGCTATTATTTTTTTAACCAAACAGATCAACATCACACAGTCAAAGAAAACTGCTTAATCAACGAAGCCCCTTATTATTAATCATATTTGCAAACTTAATTCCAAACACCACACTATCAAATTGCGTAATTCGAATTCAAGAAATTTGAGCCCGAATTGCTTCAGTCAACGGTGTAACCATGCATGGAGAGATTCTGATGTTATATGTAAATAAATATATAATACGCACCGACGGTGCACGTCCGAAACTTGAAATGAAAATCTTCCAAAATTTCAAAAAAATGAATAATTTATAAGTAATTTTTTAATCATAATTTATAAAATATAAGATAAATACGTGATCAGAGTTTTTTCCCCAGATGACGTAAAACGTGTAAACACTTACATAAGTTGATCTAACGAAGTTTTACGCCCTTCACCTCAATAGGCAAGCGCAGAATATCTGAATAAGCTTCAGTCCGACCAAATTTTTCCCTGCAAAAACCATCTTTAGTTCTTAACTAATGATAATAGCCCAACTAATTAATCTCAATAATGCTCGGCCCATTTCTTAATCCTAACATCCCGAAACGCGTGTGTAGACTTTTTAATTATTACACTTTATAACAGCATTGGTAGTCCGGAATATACCCGTGTCACGTTGTTTCTTTCACATATATCTTGTTGTCTTTTTGGAACAATTTAAAGTTTCTGGAGTTCCAGATATATTTGTCTCTCGTATCATCAAATATTGATAGACTTTAGGAACGCACTTCAACTTTCTAGATGCAAGAGAGCGGCATTTAATTTTCTGAACTTGTGTATTTTTCACGTCATTTGATCTCTGTCTCTCTAGTGCCCTCGTCAACAGCGGCCTTAGCACGGAATGTACATTGGTCATCATTTCAGAACAAAAGAACAATTTTGATTTGGGCATCAGCCAAGAAAAGGACAGGTTTACTTTACAGTAATTCAAAGATGGTACTGTTACTCATTTGTCCGCAATCACTGATCGAGGCTTATATGTGATCCGCTCTGGGTTTTGCATAGCAATTCAAAACATGCTGTGCTTTTGATGAGCTAAATATTTTTTCATTAGCCAAAAAAAAAAACTTCAATAAACTTCCTTATGCCTGTTATGTTAAATTCTTCAATTACATGTGGTCATGTGTATTTTTTTTAATTCATATGAATTTATAATTAAATACTATTAAATATTAATATTTTAAAAATATGATTGAAAAATTTAATATAATAGATATAAGAAATTTGATATAAGTATTATTTTTTAAAAAAATTAATATAATTGTCCCAACTGTTATTATGCTCCAAAGCCCAGGGATAAATAAAAGGTCGCTTGATTTGGGCCCTGACAGTAAAATGATCCCGAGCACCCAAAAGAAAAAATCCAGGCGCCTTCTTTATATGAGTGACTGAGTCCATCTATTAATGGTCTGGGCTAGCTTTAGTCCCAGGCTTCTCGCCATAATATACTACCTTCGTTAAGAACTCATTTAACCTTTTTTTTTTTTAAAAGTTTTAAATATAAAATCTCAATTTATTTTATTTTTTAGATTTATTTAATTTTTTAAGGTATTCCTTATAATAATAGTAGTTATAACCAATATACTTGATTAGTAAGGATATTTTAGAAAAGATAACACATATTTACTATAAATAACTAACTTAACTAATTTTCATAATTTACTTAAATTGGTCAACTAACTCTTGTATTAAGAAACAAATATAGTATATTACTCTCTATTCTTAATATAAGAGCTAATTTGATATTCAATTTGATTTTAAATACAAGACCCTAATTCATTTTATCTCACATTTATACACTTTTTTCAAAGTAATCATTGTAGTAGTTGTACATATTAAAATTTTTATTAAATGGCAGTTTTAGCTAATATATATGATTAGCAAGAATGTTTTAGGAAAAACAATACCTATTTATTACAAATAACTAAATTAATTAACTTCCTTGATCTACTCAAATCAGCCGACTAGTTTTTATATTAAGGACAGGAAGTAGTGCTATATGTCATTAGATTATATGTCAATTTATAAGTTAAGCAAATTAGTTAAGAGAAAAACAATAAATATAATTTAAAGTAAATTATTTAACTTTCTCAATTTCTCTAAATTAGTTAATTGAATCTTATATTGAGAGCTGAATTCCCCTTAACAATATCAGACGATCTGCTGCTGTGAAAATGTGACAATTATATATGGCAAGAAAAGATCTATAGACAGTAACAGCACTCTATCTCAAAAAATTGAGGTTAAAATGTCAAAACATAAAACTCAATTGTCCTATTTGGTACAATGTGTTGAAAATAAGAAATAGGGACTAAGAATGTAATTGAAAAAAAAATCATTAAAAAAGTTTTTAGCACTAGTAATTGCTCGTTACATGGAATTAGACAAACCCACAGAAGTAGCATTGGGGAATACCATTTTCCCTCATGGTATTCCTCAGTCTCACATATATGGATTTGTCTAATTTCATATAGTAAACAGTTTTTCATGCTAAGCACTATTTTTTCAATCTCAATTCTAATCCATATTCTTCATTTTCAATGTTTCATACCAAACGCTGTCAATGGTTTCACGGGTCTCTTTCTTCCAATCCCTGAGCCGTCCAGCATGTTTTTGCAGCTTCCTGGGCACTGCTCTTACATATATCATGTACATGACCAAAAATCAAGGCGTGTGCCTTTCTCTTTATGTATGGAGAGAGAAGAAGTGATATTTAAATCTTGAATTTATATAATTAAAACTGAATCTGATACGTAGGGTGTGATTTGCAAACAAACCAGATCATAAAATATATATATACGAAAACCTTCAACCTTGCATGCACATTAACCTGCGTACGCTTCATAATAATTGTACTGCTTTACTGACTCAATTCTTTCTGTAATCCATCAATAATCCGTTCCATATATTGGATACTGGTATCGAGAATTTCGATGGTTTCACTTAAAGTCACACGTAGAAGCTGCTGCATACATAAATATATACACGGAGGAGTATATAGAGAGAGGTGTGTAGCTATGTACGTGTGAGAAGATTGATAGTATAACTTTTTTTTATGTGACTATATCATCATGCAAGATTTAAGTACTGTCGGGTTCAATTGAGAACAGTTCTTCTAAAAATGTTTTCTGTATTTATACAGATTTAAACTTGAAACCTTATGATTAAGCAACCACAACATTAAGACTGATACTTGTCAGTAAGATTGATTATATACGATCCTTAATATAAAATCTTGTTTGATTTTTATTTTGATTCTAAATATAAGACCACAATCCACTTTATCTCTCGTATTTATACATTTTTTTTCCAAAATAGTCATTCTAATAATGATAGTTCTAGTCAATATACTTGATTAGTAAGGATATTTTAGGAAAAATAACATCTATTTAAGACAAATAAATAATTCAACTTACTTTTTTAGTCTTCTCAAATTAGTTAACTGACTCTTATAATCAGGATAGAAGGTAGTATAACTTAACATACTTGTTATTGTTTGTGCCAAAAATGTTGGCGATCATTACTAACTAGTTGATGATGTGTCATGTATAGGTGGGGTACCCTAAATATATGGTCTTGATAGGAGCATTGACTCGGTCACTTTACTCAACATCAAGGGCGAGTTAGTCAACCGATTTGAACAGGCAAGGACAAGAGTAGGTTTGTGTGGATCCTCCCTCGATATCTGCATGTGGATCAACAGTTGATCGTTAGAACTCTACCTCTCGTGATGTGTTATTAGTTAATATTTAATCCAGTCATTATCTCACCTAAACAGCCCCATACATAACATACATACATGTCCTCCTCCAAGCATTCATTGTCCCACCCCCTAATTATATATATGTGACAACGTGGTAATACAGATAATTAACCCATTAATTTAATTTAATTCTGACTAATTAATTCTCCCCTACACATGCAGATACAGTTCCTTTGGTGAACCATAAAAAAAAAAAAACTAAATGAACTAATTAATACGATGCCTTGTCCCATTTGTCACATGGTTTTGGCGTCAATATGATATCATCGTGACTTAACTCCTTTTTTTTTTTGTGTGTGGGGTGATCAGGTCATCGTGACTCTATTCAGACGCAAGACATTTTTATCTTCTGATTTCTGAACAGATTGAATGAGATGAGATGAGTTATGAATATAATAATTAAAAGGGTAGGGGGCGTAGGGCCTAGTGAAAAGAAAAGCTTTATTGGGGTTATTATCTATGAGAAAGGAACATTTTTGGCATATTTCATCAATCAAGGAGATTAAGTGATGAAGTGCAATTCGCAGGGATTGGGATTTTCAAGAAAATGGTCGTGACAGGGGAACGTAAATTATGCCTCATTCCCATGAGGGTCGCACACAGACAAAACGGATATTGACGTGAGAAGGTAACATAATCCACGTCAATCAAACAGGTTGTTGAAATTAGGCAAAGGCGAAAAGATTTTAAGATTAATAATTATATAATCATATGCTAATTCGGCAATTGACGGGCGCGCTTGCTCTTTTCTAATTTCTTCTCTTGCCTAATGATTACTGATTAGTAGCATATAATTAGTATTATTATTAGTTAATTATATTGTGGTCAATCTTTTCTTGCTCAGTTAGTGACTTTGATGCGAAAAACTCGTCCGTTGAATTGATGTTTATCGGAATGGAAAATGCGAATCTTCGTCTGATTAATTTCCATAATTATTTTTTTAAAAAATATAGTTCACATTCATGTTTATCAGAATGAAAAATGCAAATTCTGCCATTTTTCCCATTATTTTTAGTTGATGCCTCTTCCATATGCGCATCTCAGCAGCACTTAAAGCTGCTTAATTCCCATAATTATTTTTAAAAAAATATAATTAATATTCAGGAATTTTTTCGATTCACAATGGCTGTTCCTCTGGACAAATGATGAGTTAATTGTCTCCGTCACTGGCTAACAAATTGAATCCCACATTATTGTATGTTGCGTTTTAGATATTCACCGTCTACTCTCCCCCCCCCTCTCCTTCTTAATTGAATTTTTCTTTAATATTTCAAAATGCATAATTAAATAAGCGGAGAAGATTTAATTTCCTTCTTTTCCTTGTAATTGCCCCATCTCTCCATTATTTAGGTCCAGTTCCTTCAGGGCATTATTTAAGCCTTAAAATAAAACAAGAAGACAAACAAATACAGATGGCAGAACAATTGAATATGAATATGAATATATGAAACAATTAATTAATTAAATTAATACAATTTTCAAAAAGACGAAATACGTCATGAAGGAGGAGAGAGAGACATATACGTTGAAACAAATCTCCGTGAACCCTCGTCTTTTTATTGACTATCCGTGACCCATGAACCCCATATTTGTTAGTTATATAAGACGACCCATGATCAATACACCTCACCTTCCATAATTTCCTCCCCATACTCTGCACTAACCTCTCGGAATCTTCAAAGCGCGTCCGCCATTTGTGTTCATTCTGAGTTAGAATCCAGTAAAGAAAGAGCAGTTTCCAGAGGAAGAAGAAAGAAAGGTCAGGTTCAAGCCAAGAGCTTTCCACTTAATTCGCTTGTGATGGGGAATTGCATGGAGAGATCTGGTGAGATTCAGTGGCAAGAAGGAGGAGGAGAAGAAGAGGTGAAGCAGCAGAAGGAGGGAGAGGAAGAAGATAGTGAAGGGAAGAAGCGAGTGAGGGTTAAGATTGTGCTGACGAAGGAGGAGCTACAATGGCTTATACTTCAACTAAACCAGAAGCAAGGCATGGGATTAGACCAAGTACTTGAAGAGATACAGAGAAGCAGAGAGAAAGTTGAAGCATGGAAGCCTTCTCTTGAGAGTATCATGGAAATCCCTGAAGTGCCTGAGATGGACAGATGATTCTCTCTCTCTCTCATTTTTTGTTTTCCTTCCCTTTTTAATCCTAGGTTTTTGTAATAACTGTTGTAAGTGATGATAACTGCATTTGTAAATCTTACTTGAAATGACCAGTCAGAAGATGATGAGCTTGTGCTTCGACTACTACAATCTTGTTCCCTTCCTTTACTTCCCCTGTTGTTTCTTTCTTTAAGCCACAACTTTCCCCTGTTTTCACTGCCCCTATTTTTTGAAGTATATGTGTAATTCCTCGTCCATGGTTTTGTTTTCAGTTCTTCAACTGGCACTCTCACTATATTTTGATACAGATCCATATTCTCAAAGCGATGTGATGGACAAGTAAAATAAAATTGTATTCAGTAGAACCAATGATCCGAGTGTAGTGCAAAGTAGTGAGAGAACAACAGAGGATGTCTGTTGGGGATGAAAACTGAGAAGTTCATTTACTGTAACCCAAATATGAATCATTGAGTAAAGAGAGATGTATTACTTTGATATGAAGCAATTTTAAAATATGACCCCAGGATGGGAAACCAAAGTTGAACTCGTATAATAATATCTGACACTGGCTAATGGCCGACCTTTTGAAACTTCAAATTGGGGACATGTGCGTAAAGGCAAGAACAGTGAAGGTTGAAGAGCACAAAGTCGACAATTGAAATGATTGGCCCATACTGTTCGACTTTATTATAATTCAAATACAGAGTGTTGGGAATTTTCTGCGACGGTGCTAGGTGTGAAAAACCCGGGCAGGCTGGCAGATCCTTAGTTCTTAGTACAGCAAATAAGATTCGTTAGAGGAAGTAACCTCACTCACTTTTGCTGCGTTTTCTTTATTCTACCAGTCAAATATAGAAAGAAGGAAGAAAGGCTCGTGGGAAGGGGAAAAAAATATAGAGGATAGCGAAGCGAAGCAAGCGACATTTATTATATAATACAACTGATTTTGCTGAGGGAGACTTTGAATCATACTAATATAAGCGATGTAATTATTGCTTCCTGTTCCTGGTCTGATACGTCATACTTCATTATTTTGGCTGGCTGGAGAAGGGGGTGGTTGGGGAAGAAATTTGTGCACCTTGTCTGTGTTCCGAGTCTCACAAATTTATGTCTCTGTTATGCGTTGGGTTTTGTAGCTGAGGCTTATTTATTACTCATTTAATTTTAAATATAAGATTTATTTACGCTACAAAATTAATTTTATATTTAAGACTGAGAAAGTAATTATCAATCCTATTTATTTTCAACATGTTTGGTTGAATGCTTCTTGTTATCTTATTTATAAGTTTCAAATTTGAGAAGATTTGTAGTATATTTTATAAGTTTCAATTTGAGTTTGACTTAATATTTAATGCGTTTTTTTCAATGTTATTCTTAATTATTTTTTTCTTGTTACATTTTCTTGTATATTCTTTTTCATCATTTTTTTTATTTATTATAAGGACATAAATACTTGGAAACAAAAATATATTTTTAACTTAGTTATTATTTTTAACTAATTGTTCGTTATCACTGAACTAGTTATTTGAAGCTTAAAATAAAAAGAGGAAGAAGTATTTAGAGCCAAGAAAAATTTTAAATTTCATTAAGTGAGTTTTAATTTTTCCCTACCTAATATATATATAGACACACACTTTTAATGAGAAGTTTAAAAGAGTAAGAATAATAAATTATGGTAAAATTATATATAGTCACATGACAGATTTATAATATGATTTATATTAAAGATAAAAAGAATACTCACTCGTCTAATGGGAGCATATCGAAATAGTTGAAAATGCTTGCTTCCTCAGTTCCTCATGATTTATACCGTCTCTCTCTCTCTCTCTCTCTCACATACCACCACTTTCTTTGTTTTTCGTCTTCTGTTTTTGGGTTTGTGAGTTTGGCCCATGTTATCTGTTTGGACGATCAGAAGGGGAAGTGAGAGTGATTGAGCCATTGAGGTGAGTTGGTGACTGAGAACTCAGATGGGAGTAGAGAGGGTGAGTAGGGTGGGCCTACCGCAAATTCGGTGATCCGGCCCATGTTATGTGCAACCCCGTTTTCTTTTGTTTTTGGGCCCTTCATCAATGAACATATTGGAAAGAGTGACAATGCTGATTAGGATCTTGTTTGGCAGGAAAGAATGTTTCCATTTAATTTTCTCTCTACTTCCTCTCTATTCATTATTTTTATTATTAGATTAACATCTAATGGTTGAGATTTAATATATTATAAAAATATTATTATAATATAAATTAAACAACAAAATTGGGGGTAGCTGTTTGGAAGTTGCAGAATTTGCGTAACAAATCTACTACCTCCGGTCCTAATTATAAGAGCTAGTTGACTAATTTGAAAAGATTAAGGAAAGAAGTTACGTTAGTTATTTGTACTAAATAGATGTTATATTTTCTAAAATATCCTTGCTAGTCAAGTGTATTAGCTAGAAATACCATTGTTAAAAGGACTACATTGAGAAAAAATGCATAAATATAATAGATAAAGTGGATTGGGGTCTTATATTTAGGACCAAAATAAAAGTCAAACAAGATCTTATATTAAAGACCAGAGGTAGTATTTTTGAGGCTTTCAGATCCAGTTCATTATATCCTCAGTTGCTAGAAATATTTTGCTGTCGAGTCAGATTTGATGAGTAACTTGGCTCATGAACCTGTTGTCAAAACTATTAAGTGGTTTGCTCCCTGAGCTGACTGGGTGAAACTAAATGTTGACGGAGCCATGGCTGTGATGTGCCTATGACTAATTGGGTGATTAGGCCATGTGTTAGCCCGGTTTCTTTTGTCTTCTGGCCCTTAGCATAAGAGAATTTTATTAACAAGAGTTGAGTTTAGCATGCTGGGTTAGTTTCTCATAATACAGCAAATCAAGATTCGAATCTTTATTGAGAAAAGTGTATATGTGGTGTATAACAATATCTCAAATATGAGTACTTCTATTTTGTACCATACAGATCTCATTACAGCGATTAGCAGTGAAACTAATTCGTATATCTAACAATACTGTTATGTGAACTGATCAATCTTTAAGCACCAAGATCAACCGACATTTCTCATCTAAAGTCAACAAAGGTTCTTCATTATCCCTGCGAATGTTGTGTGTACGCCCTGCAAGATTGAACCTTTGCCGGGTGAACGCGAGGGTAATCTTTATCCTAACCATTATTTCTCCCTACTTCCTTTAATTTTCAGCGTTCGTGTCGACGAACTCACCGACCCACAAGAAGTTTTAAGAAGGAACTAGTGTACTAAAAGCAACAGTAATGATTGCGCCTCACATGGAAGTCTATCGAATTTCTGTATATCAAAATACGACCTCTGCTCTTTGATATAAGATCCTGTTTAATTTTTATCTTAATTCTAAATATAAAACCCCAATCTATTTTATCTTTTATATTTATATATCTTTTTCTAAGATAGTTCTTCTAACAATAGTAGTTCTAGCCAATATACCTAACTAGCAAAGATATTTTAGGAAAGACAACACCTATTTATTAGAAGTAATTAACTTAATTTATTTTATTAATCTATTCAACTTAGTGAACTAACTATTATATTTAGGATCGGAAGTAGTATATATTAAAGAAGAGAGGCAAGTAACCAATATGGCTTAAGAGCAAATACATCAAAGAAACACGATGGCATTACCCAACAGCATCGCTAATTACGATCTACAACAGAGATTAGGGGAAAAAAGTTACCTAGAGTAGGTACGTTGCTGCCAATATAAAGATGAGGATGTGGATGATGTGGTTGAAAATCTGATAAAAACACACCAATTGGCTTTCAATTGGATATTCAATTATTTTGACGAATTAATATTTTCAAAAAGGCATCCGCCGAAGAAGTAAGCAATGGGAGAAGGTATTAACTTTGTTGACTAGAGTGTAGCCCAGAAAAAAAGCACAGAGGAAAAGAAGGGAAGAATTTCATTACCAAAAACCAGCGTACAAAAAAGGCTACCTAGTCCGGCCAAAAGATAACACTAGTACATTAATTGTAATTATTAGCATCGATCCCAATAAGTAATAGGTTTTTGATTTGGTATATATATATATATATATTATGAATGTTTTGATAAAAGATATAATAAAGCAAAAACTTTTTAAGTGCTATTGAACAAAAATTTTATAATTCGTCTTTGAACATTTTTGTTTTTCTGAAACGTATGGTCATTGAATTGAATGTATCTATTTGGGGCATAAGCGGAGTTGCCCTTTGAAAAAATGTCATTGACGTTGTCCTTGAAACAGCAAGTCTGTACTCATATCCAAGAACCTCTTCAACCAGTGGAGACAACCCGCGTTGGGTGCAAAAATAGACCAATGAATTAAATGGGGAGCGTGCGGGATGGGTTATCTCACCTGCAAGTTAAAAAAGCACAACATTAATGTCAAGGTCGACGTTGTTAGACATATGATGATGTTATATATTGTTGTGTTTTGGAATTCAGATTCTCCATCACCAGGAACAAGTCAAAACCCCTCGTTACAAGATTATTTTGATAATAAAAGTTAAATCTAAGGATAGTCCTTTTTCCCCTTTTGGAGCTTTTTTTTATGCGTGGAAAATTATGCAATTTTTTAATTAGCTAACTATGACTTTTTTTTTTAGTGCGCATACTGTTTTTTAAAGTTCAAAGACCAAATTGAAATTTGATACTCCTCCGGTCGTTAATATAGGACTCAATTCTTGTGTTGGTTTTGGTCTTAAATATAAGACCTATTTTTTATATTTATCAATTTTCTCTAAATTACCATATGAATATTTCCTCAACCATAATCAAGTAGAAGAGGGAGAGGAGATATTAAGAAAGATGATTATGGTATTTTAGGAAAAATGTGTTACTTTTCTTATAATTAACTAACTTACCTAACTTTTTTAATTTAATTAAATTAGTTAAATGAGTTTTATATTAAGGGCCGGAAGAGTATAAAATTAAAGGATTAAATGAATACTCTATATAATACATTGCCAAAAAGAGATATTTACAGTATGCCTCTGATAATCCAATCTGAAGCCCCTCTTTAATACTTTCCTGTTCCAACAACTGATCTCAACTTGGGAATATCATTCTGCCTACCCTGTCTCTAATCATTTATATCAAAGATCAGAAAGATGAGAAGGATCAGAAGTCTATAAGCAATGCATGCTTGGCGTAAACTTCACATCTAAAAATACATATATAGAGATCACATATGATACAGTGGTGAAGTATTTGTCCCAAAAAAAGAGTATAAGTTCAGTAGTAAAGGACTGCTATACATATAGTTTTCTGCTGCATCTTTCTAGAGCTAATTAAAGGCTACTAACTATTCAGCCATTTCATCAAGAGTGGCTTCTTCGATCTTGTTTAAGGAAGTGGGCACGACGCTAACGCGGCCTACTGGGATGGATACGAGCTCACGAGCAACGTCCCCGAACTCAAGAAATCCTCCTTCTTTGCACTTTGATAACAGTCTGGCTGCTTCTTCCCTCGTCATCTTCACCTTCACTCTAATCCCCTCCCTTTTATTATTACCACTGCTTATAATTCTCTTCCCACTTTCCTTTTCCTTCTCCAACTCATCTCCTCCTAAAATTGTGGGCTCTGAATCAGCAAACCTCACACTTTTCTTCACTGCCACGGCCGCCTTTCTGCAGGGTGCTTGCTTTTTCGTCAACTCATCTCTATATACAGCCGGTTTTGCCTCAGCTTGCTCTACTACTGATCCTACTTTAACATCTGAGACTTGCCTGTTCAAGCAAGCAAACACGGTTTGCATCATTTTTTTTTCTTTTTTAAAACTGGAGAGAGAAAAGGTATAGGTATAGTAGCTATTAGAAGAGAGGTATATGTGAGGCAAAAAGGGCACGAAAGAAGAGTGAATTTATAGCAGTTTATGAGATGAGATGGCAGAAGAATGAAGTGGGGCTCATTTAAAATAGCAGCGAGCTAGGGGGAAAATGTGCAGCCAAATGGTGGTGGACCTAAATACGTCAACGTAGAAAAGTTATGGTAATACGGCAACAAACCATCAACAAGTCAAGATGGTAAGTGATTTGACTGTCAAATGTAGGAAACGGTCCCTCCAGTGTTGTTATCTTTTATCGTAGCAAAAGGGGGAAAATGACTATATTTATTATCAGCATATGTAGGTTGAAAAAGTCCAGCCAATGCCCTTTGGGTTGAGGGAACGATAAGCATTGGTGACTAATTCTCCAGTAGATTGGCCAGTTCAAGATAGTGATAGATGGCGTTTAATTTACAATTCATTAATTAGAAGAAGCCTCGATCTGAGCTGAGATCTGTGCCTCACAATGCAGGCTTCATCTTATCCTATTTATACTGATCGAATTGATTGATAAATAAGCTGTTCCCTTTTCTCGCTGTAACCATGTGCATGATTAACGGGCAAAAGACCAGCTCATTGGGGGCATTACAAAGTCTTAAGTCTATCTATATTATCTGTTCATTTATGATGACACAAACAGCTAGCAGAAATAGGAGATGATGCATAAATAGATTGCAGTATATTAATGTAAGTGGAAGTTCTTGGCTGTAAATTAGTATTTCTAATGTGCTTTTTGGTACTCTTCAATTTTTTTTATATCTTTACATTATTGGATTCTACATATAATGAGTGAAATTTTAATATCTTATGAAAAAAAAGTGGTTCAGTTTTCAATTTTTTATGATTTTTTTTAAAGATTTAATACTTTAAATGGTCCAGATTCTTTTCAATTTAGAGTGTCAAATATTTAGAAAATCATAAAAGATTTAAAATTAAACCATTTTTTACCCATAAGATATCCAAATTTCACTCAATTTTTATAGAATCTAATGATGCAAAGATATATTTTAAAAAAAAAATATTTGGAGAGGACCCAAAAAATGAGGGGCAACTCGAGGTGCAGCTGAGGGGCACGACTAACACTCCAGTCCTTTTTTTCTAATGCTTTTTAATGTATAATATCCCAACTTTTCTCCCAACTTCTTAAATGTTTTTTCCTCCTTTTGACGGTACTCCTTACTTAACCTGTGTTAGCTAAAGCTGAAATTTGAAGGCATTGATAACTTGGGAATTAGCAGGACTTTTTTTATTTTGAAAAAGTCTAGAAGAGTTGAATTTTGGAAACTTAAAGCTAACCTGGCGACCCATGGAATATTCACAAATTATATACCAATAGAAATCATTATATTGAAAATGAGTTGCGCATTTGTTAGCTAAATTAATTTTGATGGGCAGCAAAATTCCTTTGTTGATGAACTTTTTTAGAACCAACAATTTGTCATCTAGAATGGGATGAAGCAAAGAAAGTAAAAGATAATTTTACGGATGAGAAGAAGAAAACATTAAAGGGCGTACGAGGCCATGGTCTGGTCTGCCGAAGGTTTCAAACAAAGGAATGAATGAAGAAAATTAACAAACCTGAGGTATTAGTTAAGCACGTATATGACTTTTGTATATCATAATCCGACAATTTCAATTTTTCAACCAAAAGCGCGTGTTGAAAAGTGGAAAGAATTACAACGAAACTTCAGCGCAAAATTTTGGTTATGAGAGAATCATAATAGTTTTTTTTTTTTTGAATGAAAACTGTATTACACCAAAATCAGGTCCAAAGAGGACCTAATTCCTAACAACAAACTCCTCCTCTTCATGCAAAAAGGGAGGGGGTTGGGCAATGATACAAAAATTACCCTCCATAAAATGGGAGGACATAATAAAGTTTTTAAAAAAGAAAATAATTACAAAATGAATTTTCGAAATTATCATTTTATATTTTAAAACTTGTGATTATATGCTGTTTAGGTTATTATTGGGATAAATAATTTTTTTTTGAGATGCCAATATATAATTCTCTCTTTATTTATTTCTTAGTGATCAACATATGACATATATTATTCAATATTGTCAGAATTCAAACTGCTTTTGATTTACTACTGTGTCACTTTTTCTCTTTTCTTCTTTTGAAAGACAAAATAAAGCGGGTCTTATCAGAAAGCGATAGAAGGAATAAGTCGTAATGGAAGCCAAATAACACGGTTTTCATTTGAGTTGGGTTACAAGGGAAGACTAAGTCAAATTTCATTTAGTCCTGAAGATTTACCAATATCCTTGGACATTCAATTCTTTATTTCTTATTTGAATCGACGTTGTCTTGAACTTCACAGGATTTAAAAACATAGAGTGCACAAATGCCACTTCAAATTTACGAATAATAAATAATTTTTTTGGTGATAATAATAAATAAATTTTTGTCTCGTTGGCAAAAAATTTTGTTGCAAAAAACTAAATGTAATATCTCTTTTAATATAAATAATTTATCATGTAAGAAATTAACTGTTCCCATTACCGAATTGTTTTCTTTTTTGGTACAATTACCCAATGTTTTTTGTTGCTAACAGTAAATATCCCCACCGAGCCAGTTCACATATTTAATATTTATTTCTCAAGGTCCAGTCATAACGGACCAACCGGGTAAACTGGGCCGAAAAAGAAAACTTTCAAAGTACCTCATTCTTGCTGGCAGAAAACATGAAAAACTCATTCCACATACAATATATACTTTATACGTGTACCAAAAAAACACATATTCTTTCGGTACTAAATTATAAGACTAATTTTATGTTATAAAATAAATCTTATATTTATAGGATAAAAAAAGTACTTTCTAAGAATGTTTCGTAGATAGCACTGAAATTTCAAGAAAGAAATTTTTTTTTCGTGTATTTTATAAGTCATGACAGCCCTTTTTTTTTTTCCAATTGAAAAGCCTCACTTTCATGAAATATGGAAAGGAACATTCCATCAAAATAGTTTTTAAAAAAATAGTATTCTCTTAAAAATCATAATATCAAAACGAAAATGCATATTTATTTTTACAGTTTTTACTAATTATTTCTTTTTTCATAAAATCATAATTTTGTCATTTACTTAATTTTTAATTTTTATGCTCATATATTTTTATTTTTCTTTCTTTGTATTGAAAACCTAATTGTTTTTCTACAAGATACAAAGATCTTTCTATTAGAAACAATCATAAAGTATGGTAGAATATTAAATATGAATTTTTTTTAATAAGAATTCAAATATTAGTTAATTATATTGTGATGAATTAGTTTTTTCTATTTATGGTCTGAAAGCAATTTAATCTCTGCGAAGGCCAAACTACCTGTTGACTGCACGTTTTTTTGCAATAACATATCAGTTAGCGTTTTTGAATCAGATTCCAATGCCACTTTCCTATGTCCGAAATCCCATGCCAACATGAGCCCTTTAAAGAAAGCCCATTCCTGTGCATAAAAAACACTACAACTTCCAAGAGTCTATGTAAATCCCACAATCCAATTGCCCATATGTTCTCTAATTACACCCCAACACCCTGCCTTGCTCTTTCTTGATGAAATGGCTCCATCTACGTTAACTTTAACCCACCCATGAATCGGTTGTTGCCAAGGTAAATGAAGGGAATTCTGCATCTGGGCTTGACTAGGTAAAATATCATGCGGCTGCGTAAAAGATATCCAAGAATCAAGTACAGTAGCGGTAGGAATTTCTGGTTTCACAAAATTAGCATCAAAACAAGATTTATTCCTCCAAGATCGTAGTTTTTTTTTTTTGGCCATTTTCCTCCATGATCATAACAAGACTGCAACTCCCCGGATAAGATTCCATCTAAGGTCGCACTTAATAGTAATCTCCCTCGTCAGATTAAAAGCAAACCAGTCACGCAGTGAGGCTGAAAAAAATTGGGAAAAATACCCGGGTTCAACCATTGCCTGCCACATCTTTTTTGGACAAGGACAATCACGAAGAATATGAATTACATCTTCAAACCCAGCATCACATTATGGGCATAAAGGTGAAGACTGTGACCACGTACTTCTCCATTGATTGGTTGGAAGTCTACTAAGAAAAGCTCTCCACAAGAAAACTCTAATTCTCTCTGCCCCCTCCATTTCCCGATTAGTTTAAACACAGGGCTATGAAGATTTGTAGGAATATAGTCCATCATAAAAGGTCTGTTTGAATTGACTTATAAGTAGCTTTTCAAATGTGATTTACTAACTATAAAATAAGTATGTGAATAGAGTTTTATCTCAACTTACGTGAACTTGTTTAAAAGTCAGTTTTGAACAGAGCTCAAAACAAATCCAAAACAGGCACTCTAAACCGTAAAAATACCATGAGAGGCTGACTTCCATGTAATAATATCACTGGTCGGTTAGAGAACAGGGAGTACACATGCCTCCACCCCGTAGTGAACCCGAAGTGAACGTGTTCGACCCTTTAACTGCTGAACCTCAGGACCAGGGGTAGCCCAACATTTTTTTCCTACAGCCCGATTTTTTTTGTTATAAGAGTTTTAATTTGTGCTGTATAGGCCATTCAGTCCAAAAGAAATTTATGTAGAACAGTTATCTACAGCAGTTTTAAATAATGAATGGGCCCAAATTCCAGGCCCAGTAGCCCAAAATGTGCATCAGTCATTACAGGAAGATACGCTTTGCCCCAATGTCTCGCTCGACAATCTTGGCGAGGCGAGTTCAAGAATTCTGAAATTTTAAAATCCAAACCGTCGGCGTTGACGACACAGAGATATACCGAACCGGAAGACTCATAGGAAAGCGAGAGGGAGCCATGGGTGCTTCTCAGGCTATGAAGAGAATCCCTCGCATCAAGTTCCCTCAGAGGCATCCCAAGCCCTCAGGTCTCATTCTATCTTCGTCTTCATCTTTTTATTCTTCGTTTTTCTTTTGGGAACATTTTCCCTTCTGGTTTTCAGTAGTCTATTTTCAACCTGTTTTAGGTGAGGCTGCCAGTAATTAGCTGTACTCATTGGCGAATCTCGTATTTCCATGATAAAACAATTTAGTTTCTCAAATATCGAATTTGGCCGGATCAGATTGCTCCCCGCGTTATAATTTTGCGCTACTTTCCTTTTGATGGGCTTGTAGGGTCTTATTTTTATGATTTAATATTTACTCCATATCTTCCTAATATTCCCCTCAGAATCAATTCTTGAAACGTAATCCTGCCGCAAATTGGATGCATAATGTGAATTAGTTGCTTCTTTTCGAATGGCCAGTTTCTTACACGGACGGATTTTTAATTGTGAGACGTAATGATGCATTCTTAAATATCCGTGAAGTTTTCCTTGTGATCCGCTTACGCTCACTGATTTTAATATAGGAAATAGGGTGACACTTTGGCGGGTTGCTTTTATCTAGGCTTTAGATTTGTTCCCCATATTGCCAATCTGCGATGCTATGTTATGTTTTGCATTTATGCTGACTTTATTCAATACTTCTGGGGACAATCCACTGTCTACTAATCGAATGTTTTTGCAAGCTTTATATATTTCAGCTTCCTTGGTGATCCTTTTACTCTAGATTATCCGTATATTTGATAGCTCCGTTTAGTTGCACATACGAATTCTACATGATTTTCTGTGGTAGTGATCTTGTATTTAATATCTTTCAACATCTAAGTCTTCGGGGATGTCCATATGCATTTTGGTTTTAATTTTGATAGTAAACAAAGGCTATTCTCTGCCACCATTCACAATGATAAGGTATGTCATATATCATTAAGGAACACCTTGCAAACAGCTTCAAGCGCCAAATTCTAGTACAAAGAATTGAAGAAGCTTACTGCTTTTATAAATTGTAATAACCGACTTTGTGATAATTGTATGTCAGGTGTATCATGTGATTTACATTTACTTTCATGGTTTCGGACCTGTGTTCCAGTGAAAATTTCATTCTGATGCTTAATCCCTATGAACATCAAATGTTAAGGCAAATTTTCTGATTTTGATGGAAATCGTTGCAGGTTCTGCATCTGAGACGCAGGCTTCAGCATCGGCAAGTGATGGCAATTTACCTTTCTTTTCAAGTTCAAAAGCTCCATCAACTGTAGGAGGGAAAGCCTCACTTCAGCCCAAAAGAACTCCCGTATCTAATGAGGAGATTGAGGCAATTTTGGTATGCAAAAATTTCCTCTCGAGTTTATTCCAATGATATTGACATTTGCCTATTACCACTATCGCTCTCAACAAATTAATTTTCTATTACCACTATCGCTCTCAACAAATTAATTTTCTGGTGGCGGGTTCGGGTTTTTTGTCTGCTAATTGCACGACCTACTTGTTAGGGGTCTCTGTCTGTTTTCTTGTTCTTTGTTTTCGCCCCCTTCCCTTGTTTATTGAACTTCCTTTCAAGTTTTTATGCTGTTTCAATCCCTAATACAATCATTTTGGCCTTTTGACAGTTGGGTGGGTGCTTCTAAGCGCGTCCTTATATGGCGGCTCTAATGGCTTAATGTGCTGCCGTTCTGATTTATTTTGTGTCATGTAAGAACAGTATACTATTCCTGTTTGTGAATAATGGTTCAATCACAGAAGTGGAATGGAGATCCACGGTTGATATATGTACGTTGATGTAAGTGTTGTAATTGAACTACTGATTTTGGAAAAGAGTGACGATAACAATCCTAGTCCAAGTCTCACATTCATACTTTCATAAATAATATACATGCTTCACAGCAAAGAACTAAGAACAAGGCTATTCTGATTTCTTCTTCTCAAGAAATGGTTCGAGCACAGCAGACTTGGGGTTTTTCATTGGAGGACCTTTTTCCCTGCGTTCCAGTTCTTCCAGCCGAAAGGTAATCAACCTGTCCCAATTTCCTCCTTCAAATAGAACCCCTGCTTTTCCATCTGTGATCCGCTGAACAATGCCACAGTACATGTAAAATGGGTTATTTTCGTTCTTCACTATCGCAATCATTCCGGGCAACAAGAGCGGCAATTCTGGTGCTTTTGGCTTCTTGGAAGGTGTAAGGTCAGTTATTTTACCTGTTGGCGACTGTTTGGGAGGTGGAGGATTTTCCTGGATAAATTTTTCCAACCCCTTTTCTCCTCCGGGAAATCCTCCTGTTAACCCCATCATTTCTTTCTCGAATGCGTCTTCTGGAACATCCGTTGACTGGGCAGACCCACCTAAGTCCTCTTGCTCTGATCTACTTGCTGCTGGTGCCTGCCCTTCCACTTGCTTCTTCAGCTCTTTCTCGATCCCTTTTTCTCCGTTGCAGAGTCCTCTGCCTCCCAACATCTCTGTTAGGTTGAATTTAGCCCGTGTTTGTACTGTGGATGGTGTTGGCCTTCTGTGGAATGTGAATTGCTTTTTGTGGTCTTGGCCCAGGAATTGGGATCGAAGGAGAGAGCCATTAAGGCTGTGAAGAGTAAGAGAAGCCGCCATAGTTAACTGTTTAGTAAACACCAAATAGCCTCTGGCATGAGTGGAGAAGATAGAGGGAAGTATGGGAAGGTTTCATTTCATCATCTAGTTTTGGCCCCTAGTGATCTTCTATTATATCCCTATCCTCACGCGAGAAATATCTGGTCATAAATCCATCTGTTAAGCCTCCTCGGTTAATTTCGGCCACAGAGTGCCCCGAGCATCTTTGGTTGCCATCGGAAAGGGACTTCTCATTATTTTTATTCCATTTATTTTAAACGCTGCTCACTATTCATCAATTGGTTCAATGATTTTATTTCTACAATATTACCATTAAGGGGATTTGAGGTTATTTCTGAAATTACCTTTAAGAATATTCAAATAAATAAATAAATGTTAATCAACGTCTAATATCATTGTTTATATATTATAATAAGATGCATTATAATTTTTTTTAAAAAAAATCTGCAATAGTCGAATTCACTAAATTTTATTTTTTATTACCTAAACAAAAAATAGGATAAAATTATTATCCCGAAATAAAATTTAAAACAAAAAAGGATCTGACCAAACCATCATCACACCATGTATAAATATTTTATTTTATATATAAATATATATATTCTAAAAATATTTTGTGGCCACATCTCCGTTTAAATCTACTTGCACGGAAAAAAAGATGCCTCCCGTTAGCTACCTCGCTTTCTTTAAGCCATCCGCCGGTACCACGAGTATGAGCTTTGAATTTTTCTTGTTTGCTCACTGTTTACCTGTCTTTGCATTCATAACATTCCTGAGCTTCTTACAAGAAGCGGAAGCTTTCGCATAATATAGTTTTTCAGTTGATGAATGTGCGTGTGGGGTTATTTGATTATGGTGACGTTGAGATACTTTCGCTTTGCACTGCTTATTAAACATTTTGCTGTATGCTGGTATCTGAGGAGTAGTGAATAACCTCATTATTGTCTTGCTTAGTGAGCTTAAAAGCTGGGATAGAACTTAATGTGTTTTGTGTTTTGCACCTCCCCTTTCAGTTCAACGCCATATTATAAACCATAGTTTTAAATAAGAAGAGTCTTTGGGCAGAAACAAAACCATAGTTTTAAAAGTATTTTTATGGTATATGGAGTAAATATGTGAGGTAAGTTGTCTCGATTTGCGGAAAATGCTTATAGAGTTGTCCAAACACCCCCTTCTATATTATAAACCAGTATGTTTTGCACCTCCCCTTTCAGTTCAACGACATATAATGGATGCCTGGATTTTTTCTTCTACATTAACCGAGAAAACAAACTTTTCTTCTTTAAGTTTTTAATAATTTGGCAGCAACTTTGCCCGGATATCTGGTTTTTGTTACTTTTAGTTGGTTGAACAGTTTCTCGTCTTGCTAGCCTGTGCTAATGCTAATTCTTGGATGTGGAAGCGTGAATGGCTTAAACAGATTTGGTCGTTTAATTAGAATCAACATCCTCCTTGTGCGTACTGCTTTCTGAATCCATGTTCAACTGACTTGCTTAAAGGAACCTGGGCTGCAAATTGAACAAATTTTGGTTAATGACACTATTGAAGAAACAAGTGATATCTATGATACTATCACTTGAGGAACAAAAACATATGAGTTTTTGGTATGTGCTACAGATTTGGGAAGGACTATATCTTAAACTAATAAGCTTTTCTTTCCTCTGATGTAGGCTCTCCCATATTTGTTAAAGAAGTTCGATGATAGTCATGGAAAAACAGATGTCATCCTGATCAGTTGCAAGCCCCACCGTTAACAGTAAAATCTCTTGCCAACAGAACACGTTATATTCAGAGCCTAGAAGGCTAGAACTGATAAATTTTCTGAGGTAGTGTTTCCTGTTGGAAGAGGAAAAGTTGAAAACAGCCCAAATGTGATCATTAAGAGATTGAGCTTATTTGAAACCAGTAACTCATCATAGTTTAGTTTTTGGTCCAGTTTCGATCTGAACTCAAAATATTAGAGGCAATCTACATGTTGAACTTGTTTTCTCTGAGGAGCCTGTCACGGGGTTCTCGTCCTGGTGGTAGTCAGGAAAAGGTTTTCTTGCATCTTTTATGTACTATGGGGTTTTCTAGTGACAGTGGCTCTATAATCTCTTGCCAACAAAAGTTCCGCATGTCGTAGGTTCAGCTAACTGCTGCAGAAGAAGAATCACTTCCATCAGAACTTGCTGATGCAGAAGAGAGGGAAGCTCACCTAAAATCTCAGTAAGTGATGAACTACTTTGAACTATCATGGTCCTTTTATCTTTCATCTGGGCTTAAGTCTTGAAGTGTCAATTTTGGATTCTAGGGTCAGAGCTTTAAGAATAACAAGAAGTTTTATTCTTTTATTTTTCTTTCTTTTTTAATTAAGTATTACATTATTTTATCATCCTTTTATTACACACAGGTTGGATCATATTGTTGAGATTCTTCGGTCAGCTCGTCTATCTGGCTACATGTATATCAGAACGGTACAGGCTGTCCATATCCCACCGCTTTACCTTGCCCTAGTTTGTACGCTAGTATCTCGTTCTTCTAACAAGTTTGGTACTAATTTAACTTCAACCTTTTTGTTGTAGAGATGGACAACACTACCAGGAGATCCTCCACCAATAGATGATTCTGATGTAAATGACTGGGTTTCTCGCTTTATTGTTCTCCATGGAGATTGTATTTTCATATATTTGTCATGTTCAGGTATTATAAATGATTGATTTCCTTCTCTCTCTTGTACCATGCCCTATGTTAACTGTGAAGTGCCATAGAGCCCCCTTATAAAAATTTCACTGTCTGATCTATTTTTAATTTTTATTATAAGTCTCAAGCACTTGATCCTTGATGGGCAACCAATTTTTCCAAACTACTTTTTAGACGAAAGTCCTTTTAAAAAGCATTTTTTTTATAAATGGAGACAAATTCCTCTACATATTTACTTTGTATACTGTAAAATCACTTTTAAAATCATAGTTTGGTTTCTATCCAAACACTTTTTTATTCAAACCATCCTAGTTTAGTATATATTGGCAATCAATGTTCCTTACATCTTTTGGTCTTCCTTCAAACCTCTCTGTTCTTCAAATCTATGCTGGCATATTACCATATTGCTGAAGATTTATTGTGTAACTATAACACATGTAAAATACTTCAATGACAAGAGGGCATAATAAGGCGAGGATATGCTCGCCAATATCTACTTCATCTATGTTATTGCTTCAATTTTTTATTGTACTTGGTAAAAGCAGCATGCATGTTTCCTAGTTTGCTAACCATTCGACTGCATAACTATTGTCAATCAATGCCACATTCCTCATCCTTATTTGTCAATTATATGTCAAAGGCTTTCTTAGCCAAACTTGTATATAAATTATGAGGCTCTGCTGCCTTCAGTAACATATACAGGATTGAAATTTCACAGTCTTTTCATTGACAATTCATCATTATTATAAAAAATTCTGATGAAGGTAACAATGCAGATCTAAGTCCTCAAGACGCCACTCCTCTATCTGACATTGTTGAAGTGGGGCTGCTACCGAGTTTTAAATGGGAGGATGATGAGACACAATACGCCTTTTATATTTTATCTTGTCTAGGATTTCGATATGAGTGTTCAAGCAGTTCCAAGATACAGGTTTGTCTATTTTAAAGTAATGTGTTTCTTGGAAGTTGCAGTCATTTTTCTTCGACCTGGACTGCTTCAAAATAAGTACTTCCTTAATTTGATGACATTAACTTCTACAGATGTGTTTTACTGCATATGTTCAACATTATATTGCAACAAGAAGTTTTTCCAAGTATGATTCAGCTGCCCTTCTTTCTTCTTCTGGCAGGTGGACTCTTGGTTATCAGCTCTAAGAACTGACTGCAAATTGGAGTTTAATACATCAGTTCCCAATGCGTCAATCCAGGTTTGATAAATTTACTCAGCGTTTCGGCAGTTTAAAGTATGACACTGGTGTAATGGTTTTTTAGTGCATACGATGGCAGTAATTGTATTCAGAATTAGTGATTGATGATTTACTTTGCCATTTCTAGTTCATCCCATAACTTTTGATTGGCCCGTCAGCTTTAAAAGAACGCTTATTTTTCTTAGAGATCGCTTCATGTGCCTTTCCTTTTCGCTGGGGCCAATGCCTTGCCACTTTATATTCTTTTGTGGGGTAGTAATTTATAAAGCAGGCATCATTGGTAATGGTCTTGTAGTATAGTAACATGTAAGCTCCTTTATAACTTGGAGGTTACTAGTTCAATCTCACTTTATAACCTTATACCATTAGTGTCTAGTGTCTGTCCCTTTAATTTTAAAAAAAAAAAAAAACTGATAAAATAGGCCAACACGTGAAACCTTCACTAAGAGTGCGTCCGTGTTTAATAAATTGGGACAGGACCCTCCAAAGGGGACCTTTCTCCTCCCCCATTAACATTTCTGATCTGTTTTTATGTTTATTAAGAAAGGCTTTTCCATCTGGAGAGGAAATGGAATTGGTTCCTCCTCCTGTCCAATCAAACGCTGCAAGTAAAGTATTGACAACTGAAGAAGCTTCATCATCACCTTCCTCTGTATTTCACTGTAACTGGGAAAGTGGGATCACAAGGCAATAATGTATTACATGGGTTGCTTGGAACTATGCATTCACCTTCATTCTAGAAGAGCCACCGACAAAATTAAAGAGTAAACCAACAAAACCAAACAAAAAGGCCAATTTTTAAAAAGATAGCGTAATCAGAGAGATATCAACGCTTGCCTGTTTCAAGATTTTGAAGGGCCTTTTTAGGCATCCAAGAGGAGAAAGGACCATAATTGATTTTCCCATAACATGTGCCTTCCAGAAAAAGAAAGAGAGAGAACAAGGGCCAATTAATTAATTAGACTATTCCATAAAGTCATGTAACGAGCAAACCGCAGAGATGATCACTTGAGAGGAGCTGTGGTGCGGTTCGCCGAGCGAGATCAGATTCAAGTAATTATGTAATATCACGAGGACGCATCTCATGCAGCGGCGTGCGCCTGCTCTAGGATTTGACTGAAACCGGTAAAGTCACTCATAACTAACCGCAACGTCCTTGCGAGCCACAAAGATTGGCACAATTACCAAAGTAACCAAAATAAGAATGAAAACGGAAAAACGCGAGCCGCACGGGATCAATCACAAGGTTACCTGTGTCATATTATATACCCCACCATCGCGGACGAATTTGTCACACGTTGTTAGCATCCACTATCCTTGTTTCCTCCTCCTTCCATCAGTAGCGCAAGCTTAATCCCTCCAAGATGAGCTCTCAAGTCTGCCGATCCGCTTCTAGAGCCGTGAGGTCTTTTCTCTCTGCTTCCAAGGGCTCTCGCTTTTACTCCGGTACTTTCTTCTCCCTCATTGTTATTATTCTTCTTTAAATTTTTTTTTCCCGTTTCATTGTCCCACTATTTTGGGTTCACTATCTGCTTAACAATGCTCTGATCTTTTTTCTTTTTGTTTCTTCTATGAATTGACCCCTATTATTCGGAGCTGTGGTGCCTGTCTCTGAATTGAGTTTTGTTTCTTTGGCTGCACACTTTTCGCCGATGATAATCCTTCAACTTCATGAATGTGCATGCTAAGGATTTTTCTTCACTCGGGAAATCGGCATTTTCCCTCGCATGCGGCTATTTTTAATTTTACTTGTTAGAGGATCCAATTTCATTTTGCTGTTGGTCTCTTGAATCTTAATTATTCTGAGCTTTGATGTCACAAACCTGATATAGGCTGCCTCTGGACCCGATGACTGTTAATTGTGTGTGTGTGTGTGCGCGCGCATATGCTTTGTCGGGTTTGGTGATCTCTTGTTTCTCTTCTTCGACATTTTTTAATGTTGTTTGTTCTGCACTCTTTTGTGTATTTAATCATTTCACGGAGCCACTGTTACCTTCTTGACTTATCAATTCGATTTTGTGGATTGAAAAACATTAACGATTGAAGCTCCTGTATGAACGTCAAGAGAACGATATTTGTTATTCGTTCGGGTATCCATCAGATAATGTGGACAGTATTAAATTGCCATGTTTCTCTTCTTGTTTTTTTTCCCCCTTATTGGGGGGGGGGGGCATATCTGTGTTTTCTTACGGTTTTGAGAATTAGCAATGAACTAAGAGATGTTTATGTCCAGATATGTTGGACAATTTTCATTCCTTTCACTTTGTTTCCCTCGTCTTTTTGTTTCCCAGAGAGTAATGATAGAGGCCTATCGGCAGTGTGCGGTACATGTTCACTTTGTTTCCTTCGTCTTTTTGTTTCCCAGAGGGTGATGATAGAGGACTATGCAGCGTGTAGTATATGTGTTGGGGTTTTGAGGTTTTTTTTTTTTTTTTTAAATTTCTTATAGATGACTGAATTTATCTTTTTCACAGAAGGAAGCAATATAGCTGCTGCTGCTGCTGTTTCAATCACAAGGAAAGCACCTCCTTTTGCTTCAAACATTGGGAAGTCTGAATCCGGAAGTGGACCTAGAGCATGGCTTTCAGGGGTTCTAGCTCTTCCTGCTGCAGGTTTGAACGAGAATTACATTTGTTTCGAAATTTTGTCTTAACTTCTTGGCGGTTGAAATTGGGAAGAATGCCACTATATCCGCGGGTAGGTCGTACGTCTGTAGATATATTTGTTGAACGATAGTGTCTTGTGCATCAGTTTATCGAATAGCATACGGGGTCATAGATTTCTGTTTGCTATGTGCTAAGAATTTTATGATAATTATCAGTCAGTTCTTGAAGCTGCATAAATGTAGAGTCCGCACGTTTTGGTAGATATTCAATCCCTAATTTTTGCCGTGAATTTTCTTCCCCCATGTCCTGCAGCTTACTTGCTCCAAGATCAAGAGGCACATGCTGCTGAGGTACGCATGACTTTTCTTCGACTACATCTTTATTTATTTTTTGTTTGATAGTCATCCCTTTTCCTTCTTTATGATAATTATGCTAATGCCCCAATAATTTGCTTCTCTTTTCCTGCACAGCTGGAGCGCACTTTCATTGCGATTAAGCCCGATGGAGTCCAAAGAGGGCTGGTAAAGTAAAATTATAATGATGTGATTTGTTTGTCAGGCAATTTTTTAGTACCATACAGCCTTTTAAATCATGGTGTGAGGATATATATCTTTTGACGAGACATTATAGTTCAGATTTCAGAGATCATATCTCGTTTTGAGCGGAAAGGTTACAAACTCGTGGGAATTAAAATATTGGTTCCTTCAAAGGATTTTGCACAGAAGCACTATCATGACCTGAAGGAAAGACCCTTCTTCAATGGCCTTTGTGAATTCCTAAGCTCTGGTCCTGTTGTTGCGATGGTTAGAATTGACTCAGTCTCTCGGGCTTTACAAATTGCTATGCAAACTGATGTACCTAACCGTCTTTCTTTCTCCCCAAAATTGATGTCACAGGTCTGGGAAGGGCAGGGAGTTATTTCCTATGGCCGAAAACTAATCGGGGCCACCGATCCACAGAAATCTGAGCCTGGCACTATCAGAGGTGATTTGGCTGTCGTTGTTGGAAGGTACTGTTTCTTAACAACAGGACTGGCTAGTTTCTTCACATGGATTCACTAACCTATGAGTTCTTATAATACATGCAGAAATATCATCCACGGAAGCGATGGACCAGAGACTGCCAAGGACGAAATTAAGTTGTGGTTTAAGCCAGAGGAGTTGGTAGATTACACGAGCAATGCAGAAAAGTGGATTTATGGTGTAAACTGATTCCTTTTTCTCAGCCGCATGGTTTTTATCACGGTAGGATAGAAGCGTGGGTTCCGGAATAAGCTATGACTCGTCTTAGATGAGTGGCTAGTGATAACATTGACTCTTGAATCCATAAGCGGAATTGAGAATAATATTGTTACAAAGTAATATATTTCACTGTATTCTGAATTCTATTTAATCAAATCAGGTGCTGTCAATCCATGATTCGTTCTTTGTTAGTTATTTCCATTCTCGGGATGAAATAAAGATCACCCACCATGCAGTTTATCCTACAAAAAATTTAGTAGAAAAGAAGGTGGTTCTCCTGAATAAGTTGGTTGACGCATACATTGAATTTGATCCTATGTGTTGACTCAGGTTTTTGCCCCCCTGAATGTTGTATGAAAGCCTTGTTCAAATTGCAGGACTCATACCGTATCACATTTTCCTCAGTTCTCAGCCAGCATTAATTCGCTTCATCTGGCTCCGAATTTATTCCGGAGAAAATTTAGGTGCATCATATATTCTTTCTTTTACTGTTAATCATTTTTATGTCTTCTTTCAACGTGTTTAGTTTAGACTCATGGTTTATTGAGTGACTCAAAATAGAGATAAGACTTTTGTTAGTGTAATCTTGCCTTTGTCTCTATTTCTTCTCTCGTTTGAATCATACGAATCACCTCTTTCAGTGTGAATTGCACAAATCACCTCCTCGTCTCTATCGAATTCTTTCCTCAAATAATCTCTGTTGTCTTCAATTCGAATTACACAGATCACCTCTTTCTATTTCTCGTTCTTTTGGGTTCCGGCATCATTCGTCGTTCTTCTGGCATTCAACATTAAAAATTTATGTCTCCCATGGGCATGCGTTTAAGTGGGTCAGTCGGAAAGAGAGAATATGATTTTCTTTGTACGGGGTTTCGAACCTTCTAAATAAAAACGAAGATCATTTCAGAATAGCTATGTATAAACCCAACCATTTGCTCAACTTTAAATTTGTACGAATATAAATTACATTTTCAGAAGAGTAACCTCTCATTTGTGAAGTAACCAAACTTAATCTAAATTTACTAAATTCAATATAACTTCAGCTAGTAGGTGTTGTGATATTGTTTAAAATAGGAGATTGAACACAAATCCAACTTATTTTTTTGTTCTTTATTATTATTTTTAACTTGTCACCATTCGTAGAGAATTTTTAGAATGATTGAAGTATCCATTCATAAAGATTTCAATCAAATTACCCCATTAAATTTCTGTAAATTTTTTAAAACAAAAGAAAACTTTTGTAATTAAAGAAAAATATAAAGGAGGTATATTTAATTTTGTTAAAAATTGTTATTATTAGAAAAAAGTAACTTAATTTTTAGTTAGCCCCCGTGGCTTCGACGCAAGTCCAGCGAAGCGGACAAAGAAAAGAAACCAGGTTAATTTATAGGAAGGCGAGGCGAAAAATAGAAGAAATCGGCTCACTCAGGAATCAGGATCCATAAAAGGGATCCGCGTCTGCTGACTCATTGTGAGCCCCGGCCATCTATTAATACCGTACCCCCATCAATCCCTCCCTATTCCACAATTTTATTTCCTGTTCTGTGTCTTTGGGTGCTGTGCAAAACCCTAGCTTCTTGTAACTCCTTCGCATCATCGTTGAATTTCCCCTTCTTAAGAGTAAGCCTTTTCTCCGTCTAATTTTTCTTTCTATCTCTTCTTGCATTATTCTCTATATGGCATCATACGTATGTGGTGTTTGAAGCCCCGGTTTGATTTGTGGGTCTTGACTATCGTATGGATCTATAGTCCCATCTGAGTTTATTTGGTTACGGCAATTATCTAGACTAACCGATGCAGCGGATGTTCTTCGGAGCTTTTTTAGTTTGTTTTGAAGTTTTCAATGAGGAAAAGGAATAGTAGGATTGAAAGCATATATTTTCTTATCATCCAATACTATCCATGGTTATGCAATTGTTTAGAGTAATCTATACAGCGGATATTTGTTCGTAGCTTCTTGTTTGTTTTGAAATTTTCTGAGAGGAAAAAGAATATTTGGATTGAAAGCGTATGTTTTCTTATAATCAAATGCTATTTGGCATGTTTTACATTAGTTGGTTATGATAGTTTGGTTGGAAAGATACCGATTTATTCTATGAACGCTCTGTATTTGGCTTTTATGATTGAATTTTGCGTTCGAGATATTTCTGAGGACTTTGGAGGGAAGCAGTTGCTCTTCTGTATTATTCTTTGACGTGTTTTACCCTTGGTTGGATTCTTTCTACATGCTAATATTTTTTCATCATAAAATTAAACTTTGTGTACGTTCTTTAGTTGTTATTGACAAATTTACCGGGAGCCATGTTTTCCTCGGTGACATATCATCGTTCTCTTCAGTACAATTATTGGTACTTGGCTTGAGAATTAGTTCTAGTTTCTCAGGATTTGTGTAGTGGTATTAATTTCTTTTTGCATTTAACAGATGGCTGCTAAACCACTCTCAACTGAGGCGATTGCACTTACAGAGAAGAAAATGGACATGACACTAGGTTTGTTTGATAGAACTATTGAGTTTAAGGCTTTCTTCTTGCTCCTGTTCGTACTCCGTCTGATGTGCTGTTAAAATCAACAGATGACATAATCAGAATGTCTAAAAATACATCCAAGACTAAGAGGCAAAAAAGAGTTCCAGTAAGTATTTTTTTGGATAATCATTTTCTAGTTTCCTTGTCATGTGTTGACGCATTTAATACTAATGGTTCTTATTATATATGATTCCCATGCCTTTACAGAATAAAGGCCAGAAATTTTCAAACGGTCTTACTCAGGATAAATCTTCAAAGCTGAGACGTTTTATGGACTCAAGGTCTTCTGTCAGACAGGTGTGTGAACTTATGAGGTGTCCTCAGTCCTAAATTTTTAACTATAATTCTTTTTGTGCTGCTACTGTCTACAACTTTTTCAAATTAATTAAAAGGAATGTCCTGAATTTGTGATCAGGGGGTTCTTGCTAAGAGAAGATCAAATTTCCAAGAAAACCAATTTCCTGTTGCAGCGCAGTTTGCACAAAAAGCTGCAGTTGCTCCTCTGCGCAACAGAGCTTCAAATCGTAGTAGGATGGCTAACCAGAATAAAGCAAGGTATTAATTTTTGTTCAACTTTTTATGTCTAGGAACATCCGGGCACTGTACTTTAGAAGATACAGTTGTGTTATTGATGTCAATAATTGCAATTTTTTTTATTGCAGGTAAAACTTGGCCCATCTGTTATAGCGATGACATCGTAGATGTGCCTTTGTGATTTTTTTTCTCTGCAAAAGGAGCCAGTTTGGCATGATGAATGGGAACCAGCCACTTGTTAATGAGATTTCTGAATTGAATGATAGCATTATAACCTTATATCACTGTTCTGCAAACTCCTTTCAGAGTTCGAGTTGATTTAAATCTATTTGTCACTATGGATATTCATGCTAGAGAATTGGAGTTAAGTCATTCGAGTTTGCTGGTGATAAGATTGGAGTATAAATTAGATGGATCCAGTTCACTGGAAACTAGATGCTAAAAGAGATGTGTTAAGGTTGTTTGTTGAAGTACATTTCCCTGAGTTCGAAGAGGGTACCATCAGATATGCTCAGAAGTCCAGACATAGACGGTTTGCTTATTTAGTGGCTGGTTCCCATGGAAAAACAGCTCTGTTGTTTAGAAGCAATATAAATCGTGGCATTAAACTATCTACGGCTTTTAGCTTATCATTTTGAAGGGATGATCCTATGATAGCATTGCATATATGGTTACTCCCATAGACTCCTGCCTTCATGTTGAGTGAGAGTTGTTACTTTTTCTTTGGCTGTTGGTATTCCTTGCTCTTGGGTTCTGATTCTTGCTGGTGTATCCATTCACATTAAATGCGGCATGCTTCAAAATAATAATTGTTCCAAGTTGTGGGATAATGCTGTGGGATGCATGCACGTCCTATGCGATCGTTTATTTAATCAGACCCTTTCATAAATTGCAACGTGCCACTTTTCTATTTCATGTTGACTGATTCTTCATTTGTTGATATTGTCAACCACTGGCCAGAAAAATGAATGGTTTTTTTCTTCATTATAGAATAAGAAATTCTTTTTTACGGCCAAGAATCAGGATATCCTTTGTTGGGGCTTGTCTTTATGAAGTAAAGTTTTGTGGTACACAATCAAGTAAATCGATGGGGAATACTTATGGTTTGGGTTTCATAAATATCATGGGGATGATGCCGCACTCTACGTGATTGAGTTCAAGTTTTCTTAGTTCTCCGCAGATGTGACTTTCAATGTTTTCTGGTGAGGAAAATTGTGCCCATCCCTGGTCACTGTGCAGATAAATTTTTGTGGCCACTACTTGACAGTGATTTGATCTTTGAGGTGAAGACTGGTTCGGTAGCCTTGGGGTTTCTTTCAATGGTCTACCGCATGATATTGTTGTGAAGTTTCCAGTTTTGTACTGTGAAGTTTCACACTCACGATAGCATCCATGAGAGTTCCCAGTACTGAACTGTGCGTGGTCACACAACAAACTGTTGGGTGCTAATCTAAATCCAGATGATTTTCCAACTTGGAGGATTACATGGAAATTATTTAGTTTTGCTCTGAGGTGATCTGGGAATTTGTATCCAGGGTACTATTATCGTTGCGTTTTTTTTCTTTCTTAGTTGGATATAGATAGAATCTGAGGTGAGTGGCTGCACTGCCAACCAAGTGAAAGATTTATTGAGTAATGTTCCTATTACTTGTAATGGTTCATGGTGCTGGGCAATTTGGATTCTGCTTGAAGCTCTTGATGAAGAATCTTCGATGTATTGTGTTTCTACTCTTCAATCATCTTTTTCCTTCCTGGGTGCAGGTTTGGAGCACCAGCGGGTCAGAGAAGGGCTGCTAGTGGAAATTTTGCTCCAAAGGTGTGACTGCATATCTTTTCTGGTCTCGAGTTATATGTGTTACCGTCAAGTGTCAACATTCTGAACCTCGTCAAGGAGAGAATACTTGCAATAATTGTCATTCATGATTAGCTGAAATTCCTACGTGATGAATAGACAGATAAGTAGACATAATGAGTATTTGTGGGTTCATTTGATCGTATGATGCAACTAAGAAATGAACAACTGAGGTGCAAGCGTGCAAGGTTTCATGTGTCTAGTCATTCTTTCCACTGGTTTATTTACATGCCTAGACCATAGTGTCATTAGGTGCTAATGCAAACTGTGGTTCTCTAGCTTACATAAAAGAACCGAAGCTTTCAGTGATCTAGGTAGCTGAGAATTTTGTTGAATTTCTGTTTTTGTTCACAGCAGCCCCGGCCTACTTCTCAGCAACAGCAGCGCGAGGAGGAATTGGATGTGATGCCTAAGCAGAGGCCCCAAACGTTGGATTCACTGTTTGCAAACATGAAGGAGCAAAGAATGAGAGGTCTATCAAGGCCGAATAATAATGTGCACCGCAATGGAGGAAGTGGACCGAGGATCCCCCCATGGGGAAGGAGTCGCTTTGGTAACTAATGTGTTGGCTTGGATGGAAATTTCGTGCCGTCAGAGTGGATGCGTGTTGGAATTTTAAGTGTGCAAATGCTGAACCTAGTTCCTTGTTTTTAAATTTTTTTAGGGTTATGTTTTCTGTTTTCACTTGCATGTTCTTTTAGCAGTTCCCTTGCACGTCCATTGTATATTTTGCCCCCAGTAGCATAGCATTAGCGGGTGACTTAGATGTTGGATATACGTTTCTGGTTTAGAACGAACAATCAACATGCAATGTCCAGCTTCTTTATTTTTTTATTTTCAATTGCAATTCAATGCGGTTGCTTCTCATGGCAGCAAGTTGTTACTTTTCTAGCATTGAAGACATGGGTGATGCTTTTGTTCATTTTAAGTGCTTTTTTATGCTGTTTTTTAGAACTTTCTATAATTTTTCATTGTTGTTAAATTTAATTCTTAAAAATTACTAAAGACATTGGTGCCAATAGCCAGATTTTAATGATGGTAACTTATGACAAGAGGGAATATGAGAAGACCAATTGCGAACTGAAAACACATTTTGGAAGCTTCGGCTCTTTCATCGTAATCTTCACCCACCCCCGGGGGGGGGTGTAGATTACTGACTACTGATATCCTTGTTTTCATTTTCAGTCTTCTCTGTCCTTCTATGCTTCTTTCTCTTCGTCTTTGATCTTCTTCAGCTCTCCTTTTTTTTTTTTTCCCCTTTTTCAAAAGTTCTTATCAGGTTGGCTTGTTGGTTTAAGTTTCGATTTTTGTTTTTTGGTGAACGGTTTAAGTTTGGATTTGCATGCATTGCTTTCATCCCCTTTTCATTCCATTTGACCTCTTACTGCTACCAGCCGTTCCACCCCCCCTCTCTCATTTTCACACGGAGATATAATTTGCAAGTAATATAATCTGCTGTAAATTTAATATTGGTGATGATTCCTGTTTTTAAGGTATTTGATCCCAACGTTGACTCTATTATGCTCATGCATCAAGATTTTAGACTACATCAGGATTACATATATAAAATGAGATGGGATAAGCTGTAGTAATGTGAATTATTAAAAAAAAAAATATTATACACGCCGTCTTGTGTTTTGTATTGTGTGAATTTAATTACTGTTATATCTTCTGCTAAAAAATAATACTGTTATATCCGTGCAAAAATTAACGAGACTTGTAATTTTTACACAGGTATAATTCTTAGTGCAACTAAAATTTCCCCTATTAATAAAATCATAGTTGGATGCTTTTTTGCCCCCATTTTTACGCCGCTGCTATCTTGTGTTCCTGATGGTGATTGCCAATGAATTTCACCGCTCCCCAGTTCTCTACTATTTCCTGACTGTGTTGCACAAGACAAATTAAATCACGTGGGATTTTTTTTGTTATATTTCAGGATTTTTATTGTTAATTAATTATAATAATGATTCAGGTATTTGACTAATTCAATCATTTTTATTGGAGAGAGCCCTCCACCCCAGCAAGACCTACAAGCGCAAAATACTTTACCGATTTTATTAATATCATTATTATGTTCATTCCAAATGAACGGATCATCAGTGAGACAGTTATTAGGCATTGGCATTACAGTGGTCGTTAATCAACGAACTAACCGTCGCCAATAAATTTCAAAAGTTTTATATGATGTATTTATCCTTCTTAACTCTTGAAATTTCACAACGAAGTCCCCTATGCGGAAAAGAACCATCAGAAGCTGCTTCATCCTGTCATCTGCAACTCAACTTGAGACCGTCATTTTCCATCCATAAAAAAATACTCACAAAAAGGAAATCCAGAAGTCAAACGTTGATATATTCCGAAGCTTTCATCCAGCCTTTCCCAACCGCTTCCTTGTATTGCAAGACTTTTATCTCTCTCTGTTTCTGTTTTCATTTACCAGTAGTGGCACCCAAGAGCAGATTAATTGAGATCAATCTTGTGGTATGGCGCAGAACAGATATGTCGTTGAGGTGGAGAAAGCAAAGGAGGCGACGGAGGAGAGGCCATCGGTGGGGCCGGTGTACCGTAGCCTCTTTGCTAAGGATGGATTTCCACCTCCGATCGAAGGTCTTGAAAGTTGCTGGGATGTTTTCCGGTGAGGCTTGTTGCTTATTCTTTTAATTATTCCGGCAAATGTGAAACATGTTGAAGACAAAGTTTTCTTCTTTAGGAATTCTTAATGTTCCTTAGATATGTCGTTTATGATTTACTGTCCATAATGTTTTGAAGAACTACTATTATTATGCCAAACAGAGCCTTCTGCTCTTTCTCATATTACATCTTTCTGGCTTCACAAACTATAGTCTATCATCTATCACTTGATCCATAATTACTTCGTATGTGTTAGTCTGCCTTTTTTTTTTCCTTTCCCCAAAACAAAGGAAAAACCATTATAAGGTCCCAAAAAAGAATATAATCATTACAAAGTCTAAATAATAAGTATTATTTCTTATACTGAGACTTAGGATTAAGATGTATCCTGTACCTCGATGTATTTTTCCGGGTATTCTAAAGTATTTTGTGGTGCGTTCAGCACTTGAAATATTTTTTTTAGGTACGTCTAGTATCGTGAAGTATTTTTTAGTTCATTTAGCATCTCAAAATATTTTAAAGTGTGTCCAACACTCAAAAATATGTTTTTCTGCATCCAGCACAAAAAAAAAAAACTTTAGAGTGTTGAACGTATCTTAAAAATACTTAAGAAATACAAAATATTTTGGGATATTAGATGCATGTTAGAATATATTTTGAGGTGCTCTTAAAACTTATGATAAGATTTCCTGGGTATTAAATTTTTTAAAACCTTTGCAATGATTTCAAAAAAGAAGAGTGATATCTTAGTTTTGATTGTCTTGGCATTTGACAGCACGTCTGTTGAGAAACATCCCAAACAACCGATGCTTGGTCGCCGGGAAATCATGGACGGGAAGGTAAACTCTGTTTCACTGCCAACATTAATAGAAAGTTTTTATATAAAATTATAGGGCATTTTTTATGATGTAATATGTTTAAAAATATACATTTTTTCGGGTTTTCAAGGCATAACTAATAAGATTTTTTTTTGAAATACTCTTAATAAGTTTTTAAAAATTAAATACCAACCATTCTCATATTTCTTTTGTGAGACACCATATTAAATGAAAATAAATGTGAAAAATATTTTCACTGATATTACATTAATTTATTGAAGGTATAAACTATTTAAAAATGTATAAATCTTATAAATTTAGTTTATTACGGGTGGAGGAAAAGGGGGGAGAGAGGGGAATAAATGAGAGAAAACAAGAAAGAAGATGAAATAAGAAATTGAGAGAGGGGTTGAGAATTTAAACAACCACACTTTTTATGTGTACGTGTTTTTTTCACCCTACAGGTTCTTTACGCATATACTAGGAAGATTAAATAATAGAGCTTTTTTTTTTGTTTCAAAAATATTTTTTTACCAATCAATGTACAACTCCTCACGTTACTTTTACAATATAATGCTTCAAATTTTGTAATAAGTAATGTTTAATGTAAAAATAATTCAACCACTTTTATGTGAAATCTAAATGTTAAAAAACGCAGGATGAGTGGTAGATTTCGCAATTTTACTCAAATTCTGTACGAAAACTTTTGAATCGTCATAGAACAAAAAATATTATATGTTATTTTTTAGGTAAAATAATAAAGAGGAAAATAAAATTTCAAAAATAACTTGCAGAATTGGACCAAGACGTTTTAAATAGATCTATAAAATAACCTATGCAAAAACTCACAAAATGACATTAACATCTAAAGTGCGGAAGATGATTAATAAATATAAATAATATTTAAAACACTAAGATATCAAATTTTAATAAGTCGTCATTAAAATATTGGTAATAGTGTAACAATGACCCTCTGACTCAGTTTGGTGGTCTCATCCGTGACCACCGATGCTTACGGTAAAAGGGGGCGGTGAAAATTGGTCAAAAGGCAATCAAGTGTTTTCTCACAATTTCAAATGACATCTAGATCCTTTGGGACTTCTTAATAAAATAATTTTACTAAAGTAAAACATGACATTAGAGCAAGATGTTATGACACACACACATATATATGCATGCACGCATGCTTGAACATGACACAAAACTACCTGTTTTCTTCTTCACCATTTATACTTGTTGATAGATTCCTGGTTATATGCGAGACTGGAAACTCCCTTTTCCTCTTCACTTAGTTATTTTTTATTTTCTTACTTAGGATATATTTGTAGTTTTTTCCGATACTAATTTTTTGGTGTCCAAGTTTCACTGCCACCATTTGATCCCTTGCGGCGTCACTTAATTGACTCATTTTTGGTTGAGTTATGTAGCCTGGCAAGTACAAGTGGCAAAGTTATGAAGAAGTATATGACCTGGTTTTGAAGGCTGGAAATTCCATCCGCAGGTGTGGTTATGGGGAAGTAAGTCATCTATGTCCTTTTAGACACAAAGTAGAGCAAGATTTGCTTTCGGGAATTTTGAAAGTTTTACCTTGTTCAAGCTGAAATCCAGTCCTTGGAATCTCAGTATATGTTCGGAGTTTTCTTGTCTTATGATTTCTATCAAAGAAAAACCTTTTTATGATTTAGAAAGTAAAGACGCCTTACTGATTTAAGAATGACAACAAAGAATCTACATAGGCTTTCTAATCGAAGACAATTTCAAATTCTAGGACGAATTACCACATAGGTAGTAACATCAATCTCAAAAGAACCTTAGTTCAGGATGCGTTGAGGTAAGGCTTCATTAACAATTCAGGTTCAAGGCCGCGTTTGGACATCAACCTCTAAGCCCAAGAACTAAATTTCGATAAATATTCATTCAAGAAAAATCCCTTTGGTGGATGTAGTCAGATTCCCTCTGATACATAAGATTCTCTATTAGAAGCAAGTGCCAAACATATTTGAACCTCTGGAGATAAAAGCAAGATATTACTAGCTCAAGCTCAAGCTTTCAAAAGATTGGAGAGGTTTTTAGAAACAACTTATGGGGTTAACACATATTTCATAGCTAGGGAATATGATTCAAGTCCATTCTGCCTCTGCACATAACTGAGACTTTCTTACATAGACACCAAACTTCACAATCTTACAAACGAACCTCATTACTCGTTACATTCTTTATGACATGAAGCTAAAACTAGTGACATCGACGAGACTATAGTTGACATAAAGGAAACTGACATGAGCGAAGTTAAAATTACTTTTACTAACGCACCTTTATAAAGTAGGACTGGACACAAAGTAAACTGTTTCAATAAAGTAGCTTGGACTGTCTAGATAGTCATAGAGCTTGTCATTATTTTAGCAGTACTTGTGGATAGGCTCTTGATCAT